TCCCTGGATAATAGAAGCCAACATCAAGTGAACCATCCGAAAAGCCAACGTTAAGCCAGGGCAAATTCTTCTACCCGCACCAAACGTTACGTACTCAAAATCTTTGCCTTTATAATCTGGACTAGGTCCCAAAAATCCTTCAGGCAAAAATCCCATTAGATTCTCCCAATATTTCGGATCTCGTCCAATAGCCCAAGCATTTACGAGTAATTGACTGCCCTTAGGTATGGTGAAGCCCAACAATTCGGCGTCGTTTCAGGCTTTATAAGGTAACATGAGTGGAACAGTTGGATGGAGTCTCATGGTCTCTTTTAGAACAACTTGGAGGTATGGGAGTTGATCAATGTCTGATTCTTTCACTAGGCGATTGAGCTCTAGTCGAATGCCTGAAAAACAACACAAGGAGAGCAAAGGTAAAAAAGGCGACTCAACGATTCCCAAACCAGAGCTCAATCAGTTCGAGCAAGGGTTCACCTAAGTTATTAGGGGCGGACCAAGTTCTAGGGATACCTAGAGTATCAGTCCTGTCAGCAGAGTTGTACTCCCAGTTGGTGCCCCCAACAAAAAAGAATTGTTTCTTCTAACCCTTATGGGAGCTCGGGGGGTGAGTAATGATCTGCCTAGCCGTGGTTTGCTTGGAGATATATAAGAAATCCTCTGATGAGGTGAACTTGATATTAAAAAGATCCACAAGCAAGGAAAGGTTGGGGACCCCTAGTCCATGAATCTTGAATAAAACAAGAAGACCCACAAGTACACCCCAGAAATTAGGGAAGAACTGAGCAGGGAAGACATTAAAGTGTTGCAAAACACTCTTGATGAAGGGATGCATAGGGAAGTGAAGGTCATTCTCAAAAGCGACCGCAAAGAAACATACTCTCTTGTGAACTTGGGCAACGTATGAAGTGTATTTATCTGGACACCAGGGCTGGACACCAGGAGGAAAACCGTAATGAGCACTGAGAATTCTTACATGAGAAGAGTCAACCTCACTAGGTCCTACGAGCTCAGCATCCCTCAAGGCGGCCCCTGTGCCCGCTGCGCTGTCAGAGACTCCTATTCCACTCACCTTGCCCTTACCTTTGTTAGGATTAGGGGGCACAGAAGAAGACGATGGGGATGGTTCCTCAGTATTTTTCTCGGCATTAACAACATCCACACCGAAAAAATTATCGATTTCCTCGCCTACATCCCCTAAATCAGTGTTCTCTTCGGTAGACCTTTCCCCCAAGAGAGAAGCAGAGGAGCGTGTAACTCTGGAAGGAGTAGACATGATTGGATAGGAGTAAGGTAAACTGAAAGAACGGTAGAGAGGAAGAATACTGATTAAGCACTCCCTAATAACCCTAGGGTCAGCGCAGTAGCTTCCAACAGCAAGGATTTGCACGTTAGAAGACTAGTCCATGAAGTGGGGGAGAGGAGACAAGTGTAATTTTGATTCCAAAAATAAAAGAACTGAAAGGCCCAGAAATGTAATGGCCACCTCGAATTCGAGGGATCCAGAATAAGAAAAGATGAAAAAGGGACAAAAGGGCATACCTAGGTGGGAAAGAGCAACGAACATCAGCCTAGAGCAAAATGGAAGAAAGAGGGCAATGCGAATCTTCAAATTGAACCCAAAGAACTCGATCTTGAACGAGGAGTCAGAGAATTTCAAACTAGAAAGTCAAGAAATCGCAAGAAGAGAGAAACATCAGAGAAGTTGAACAGTGAAATAGGGCAGTTCAGATAGCCGTTTGAGCATTTAAAGCCTGAGAGACATGAACTGAAACGTGCGCGAAAAACAAGAAAATCATGATTATTGAAAACCGTTAAAAAGGCTTAACTCACGTGCAGGCCAAGGTCAGCTACGTGCAGATCCTGCTTGGTTTAAAAAATAGCTCAATCCCTGCCCAAGCCCGCTTGAACCAGGGGCTGGGGGGCAACTGATGATACCTCAAACAAGCTCTAGTTATGAGCTCAGGTCAGGAGGTCAGGAAAGACACGAAGAACTCAGAGAACCAGAGGTGAAGCTCCCCTTGGGGAGATCGTAGCTGAATCAACTAGGAAACAACTGGATGACTGCGAAAATTGAGCCTCACTTTCAACCAACCAAGATTCTCTCCTAAAATCAAGAAGGATCCTATGAATAATGGGCAAAGATCTTGGTTGAAATCTCAGGGAATAGGGGGCAACCTTATAAATACTATGTAACGCCTCATCGAGAGGGAGAGAAAAAAAAGAAGAACCTTAATCGGATTGTGCACTGTCTTGTATTACATTCAAATAATCAATAGAGAAAAAAATGAACAAAAACCTCTATTTGAGAGTGAATTAGCCGAGCTTTAAAGTCGGTGAACCACTATATTTTAATTGTACAAATTCCCCTATCCCCTAAGAAATAATTTATCATTGTCATTACGAAGTTGACAACCTAACTTTACTATTGGTCTCACGCACTCTATTCACTCACATCACATCAATTTGGCATCATCAAAAATAAAAAATTATTTCTGAGATACTATGACCTAAAACTCTTAAATTTTATTTTAAATTGTGAATGGGTAGGAGTGGAGGAGATCAGCGACAACAGTGGCAACGTCTTTTGTAGTGAGTGGCAATTGAGTTGACAGGGAGGCATCGCCACAATAGCTTCAGGATAGAAAAGAGAGAATTAAATAAGTTGCCTTGTAAATTTTTTTTTATGAATATCGTGGGACAAAAATGGGTTATTTCAAGTGCAAAACGGACGGTTCATTGATTAAATTTGTCCTTATCAGCAAAAGCTATTTGTCCTTTAAGCGTCTATTAACTGACGGTTACAAATTGTCCCATCACAAGGGATGTTAATGATATTTCACAAATAAGAAGGGATGCAGTGAAAAATATTAGAAACTAGGAGGGGTGTCTGTATAATTAACCCTAAAAAAATGAGAGTAAAATACCCAAAAAAAAATAACATTTCGCTACCCGGACTTAAATTTTGCAGCCACAGCACTTGTTGTCCACTCGCCATATCATTTTCCGTCCCGATTCAATGCACCAAACTTACCCCTACAACAATCTGAATTTGCTTTTGCTTCTCTCACGAACATTCTCACGCGCTGCCGCACCTGCTCCACTAAATCCTAATTTGACAAAACTAAAAAATTAGTGGGAATGTCCATAATGAGAGACCCTTCCTTTCTATTTCAAAATTTTTAATTTATATCTTCAATCATTAAATTTTTTACAATGTACTTTCAATATCGTAAAATAGTTTGAATATGACTCTCACACTAACTTTATATGATTNGCCTCACTTTCAACCAACCAAGATTCTCTCCTAAAATCAAGAAGGATCCTATGAATAATGGGCAAAGATCTTGGTTGAAATCTCAGGGAATAGGGGGCAACCTTATAAATACTATGTAACGCCTCATCGAGAGGGAGAGAAAAAAAAGAAGAACCTTAATCGGATTGTGCACTGTCTTGTATTACATTCAAATAATCAATAGAGAAAAAAATGAACAAAAACCTCTATTTGAGAGTGAATTAGCCGAGCTTTAAAGTCGGTGAACCACTATATTTTAATTGTACAAATTCCCCTATCCCCTAAGAAATAATTTATCATTGTCATTACGAAGTTGACAACCTAACTTTACTATTGGTCTCACGCACTCTATTCACTCACATCACATCAATTTGGCATCATCAAAAATAAAAAATTATTTCTGAGATACTATGACCTAAAACTCTTAAATTTTATTTTAAATTGTGAATGGGTAGGAGTGGAGGAGATCAGCGACAACAGTGGCAACGTCTTTTGTAGTGAGTGGCAATTGAGTTGACAGGGAGGCATCGCCACAATAGCTTCAGGATAGAAAAGAGAGAATTAAATAAGTTGCCTTGTAAATTTTTTTTTATGAATATCGTGGGACAAAAATGGTTTATTTCAAGTGCAAAACGGACGGTTCATTGATTAAATTTGTCCTTATCAGCAAAAGCTATTTGTCCTTTAAGCGTCTATTAACTGACGGTTACAAATTGTCCCATCACAAGGGATGTTAATGATATTTCACAAATAAGAAGGGATGCAGTGAAAATATTAGAAACTAGGAGGGGTGTCTGTATAATTAACCCTAAAAAAATGAGAGTAAAATACCCAAAAAAAAATAACATTTCGCTACCCGGACTTAAATTTTGCAGCCACAGCACTTGTTGTCCACTCGCCATATCATTTTCCGTCCCGATTCAATGCACCAAACTTACCCCTACAACAATCTGAATTTGCTTTTGCTTCTCTCACGAACAATTCTCACGCGCTGCCGCACCTGCTCCACTAAATCCTAATTTGACAAAACTCAAAAATTAGTGGGAATGTCCATAATGAGAGAACCATCCTTTCTATTTCAAAATTTTTAATTTATATCTTCAATCATTAATTTTTTTACAATGTACTTTCAATATCGTAAAATAGTTTGAATATGACTCTCACACTAACTTTATATGATCGTCTCACTAACTTCTATTGATAATTTGATCAAGTTCATATATATTACGTGCAACAGAATTAATAGAAATAACAATAGAAGTTAGTGTAATTATTAAAATCAATCGTTTCAGTTGAGCGTGTGAGTAATTTTATTACTTTTTAATGCTTATTCTATCAATATCAATGAGGTTATTTTTGATAGAATGAGTGACAAGAGCTAACAACGAGGCCATAATACATTAAGGTGCAATGTAGAAAATATAATCTTTAAAAGGTATAAAATGAATTCTTAAACCTTTTAATGTACAAAATGCAATTTACCCCAACTTGAAAACACGAAATCACAAAACTCGGCGACTGGGAACGATCCGCGACGGTACAGCGCGTGGAGAATATCAGAGAATCCAAGAAGTGCAATACCACTTGTTCTCTTCTTGGGTCAAGTGCATGCGCACGTTAGCCAAAACCACCGGTTGGATCATCTCCGCTGCTTCTTCATCTTCATCTCCACCACCCAATCACTCTGATATATATTTTTCTCTCTCCGTCTTTATCAAAAACCCTAGCCCTTTCTGCTGGGGGTTTTCTTCATAATCTTCTCTCACTCACACACACACACACTCACATAAATTCAGGTGATGACGACGTCGTTTGGAGCTGCGAACACGGCGATCGCCAACACCTCGAGGCTTCGAAGTCAGAAATGTGATGGCTTGAAGAACTCTCCTCATTCAATTTTGTTGAACAAGCGCGTCCATGTGTTTTCTTTCTCATCTCCCAAGTCACCTTCCATCATCAGAGCCGTTTCTACGGTAAAAATAAAGTTTTCCATTTCACAATTATATCTGTGATTCTGTTAATTGTTTTAGCTGTGTCTGATTTGTTAGTGATTTTCTCGGGAAAATGCCTTTCTTTCGGGAATTTATCAAATCTTTGTTCACTGCAGGCAAGTGAGAGTGTTAAAAGTTCTGCTTGATATCTGAGAAAGTAGACATTTCAATTGATTAAATGTGAAACAGATTAAGTTACAAATTGTGATTGTACCCTTCATGCCTTCTACTTAACAAAATTAATTGTCCGTCTTTTTATCACTGAAAATGGTTGTGAAACCTTAATGCTGCTATTTCTGACTTCAACTTTGGCCCTTTAGCTTGAGCAATAATCAACACAATGAAAAGGAACTTAACTTTTGCTAAGGGCCTTCGAAATGAGAACATTATTGCTAAAGGGGATTTTTTATTTTTGCTCGTTGTGCTCGGTTACCAAAGAATAAAGAAATGACATAAAATAAATGAGCAATGGAAGAGCTTAAGATAGTGTAATGATGGTAGGTGCGAAATTTGAAGACCACATTTGCTATTCTTAACTTGTTCAATGTTCTTCAGGCAGACTAGGAGCTGGAAGCTTGGGAAAGTTAGGGAGATTGTTGCATCTATCACCACAACACCCTGTGTTTGTTCTGTTCTTAATAAAGGAGAAATTAATCTCTAACTTAAGTTCTGATTTATAAACCCCAACTATACATAAAATAATTCGTGTGCAGTTACAAAATGAAAATGACACGGTCTTCTGTAGCTAATTTTGATGTTCGGCAACTTATCCATGTATTATGGACTTTTTCCTTATCGGTCTCCTAGTGGTGTGAAAAGTGGTGGCACGGGTTTATTTTGTTTACTGATGAGGAGATAGGGTGGACTTCACCTTAATATTTTGGTGCTAGGAATTAGAATTGTAAATTCATAGATGAGAAACATGTGATTTGTTTGTAATAACATGCTTGGCCGTTTTGCAGCCAGTGAAGCCAGAGACTTCCGCTGAGCCTAAGCGTAGTAAGGTGGAAATATTCAAAGAACAAAGTAACTTTATAAGATACCCTCTTAGTGAGGAGTTGTTAACAGATGCCCAAAACGTCAATGAGGCTGCTACACAACTGATCAAGTTCCATGGAAGTTATCAACAGACTAACAGAGATGAACGTGGTACAAGGTCTTACACATTTATGCTTCGTACCAAGAACCCTTGTGGAAAGGTTTCAAACAAACTTTACTTGACCATGGATGATCTTGCTGATCAGTTTGGCATTGGAACACTTCGTTTGACTACCAGACAAACATTTCAGCTCCATGGTGTCTTAAAGAAAGACCTAAAGACTGTGATGAGTGCCATCATTAGAAGCATGGGTTCAACTCTTGGTGCCTGTGGAGATCTCAACAGAAATGTTCTTGCTCCGGCAGCCCCACTTTTTAGAAAAGATTATATATTTGCACAACAAACTGCTGAAAACATAGCTGCACTTTTGACTCCTCAGTCTGGCTTTTACTATGACATGTGGGTGGATGGGGAGAGAATTATGTCAGCAGAACCTCCTGAAGTAACAAAGGCTCGCAATGACAATTCTCATGGAACAAATTTTCCGGATTCGCCTGAGCCTATCTATGGAACTCAGTTCTTGCCAAGGAAGTTCAAAGTCGCAGTTACTGTTCCTGAAGATAACTCAGTGGATATTCTCACAAATGATATCGGTGTTGTTGTTGTGTCTGATGACAATGGGGAGCCTAAGGGTTTTAACCTATATGTAAGATGATGATTTATTTCACTAATGACTTTCGCTGTCTATGTTCTATGGATATAATGTTCTGTTAGCTAATAATGAATTTCAGGTGGGTGGTGGTATGGGAAGAACTCATAGGATTGAAACCACTTTTGCTCGAATAGCGGAGCCATTGGGTTACGTGCCAAAAGAGGATATATTGTATGCAGTGAAAGCTATTGTTGTTACACAAAGGGAAAATGGGAGAAGAGATGATCGTAAGTATAGCAGGATGAAATACTTAATCAGTTCTTGGGGAATTGAGAAGTTTAGAACTGTTGTTGAACAATACTATGGGAAGAAATTTGAACCTTGTCATGAGCTGCCTGAGTGGGAATTCAAAAGTTATTTGGGATGGCATGAGCAGGTTAGTCAAATTGATTCTGATCAGCGACTTATTGTTATCTTAGTTTTTGTCCAAAGGACCTAATTTTTTATGTGTCGATGCCCTTGATGTTTATGAATTCTCTCTTTCCTTTCCTTATCCTGGATCATTACCCTGAATTTACCTTCTGACTTATATTTTGCTTTTGAAATTTTTTACCTATGTAGTGCAGATGCTCAGTTTAGGTCGACCTATCCGGGATAATGTATTGGATCCGATATTTGTCAGATATTGGGGAATACACATTGGATATGCACCAAACATATCCAGTAGATAATAAAATATTTTTTTAACCATTAACCAGCATGTGAGTACTTCCATATGGAAGTTGGATGAGCAATATGTATAATTTTGAATTTTTATCTCTCCTTTTTTCTCTCGAATCCACATACAATGATACTCATAAGAAAAATCTATATAGCTTTGAAGATACATTGGTGTTGCTCAAGATTATCTACCAACACATGTCAAATAAATCAAAAAAGATAACTGAACTTTTTTGAACGGAAAATGCTATGCAACTCAAACTTGAATCTCAAATGGCATCCCAAATGAATAGGGACCATTGGATGAGTGGGTTCCATCAACTCTTTTAAATGGGATCCACTGAGCCAATGATCCTTATTGATTTGGANGAAAATGCTATGCAACTCAAACTTGAATCTCAAATGGCATCCCAAATGAATAGGGACGGATGAGTGGGTTCCATCAACTCTTTTAAATGGGACCCACTGAGCCAATGATCCTTATTGATTTGGAATGCCATTTGGAATCCTAAATTTGGGTTGCATAACATTGCTCTTTTTGAACACTAATCTAATATAATATAGCTAACATTTCAATTTGTTATCAGGGAATTTTCTGAAAGTTATAATTTTTAAATTTCTTACGTAAGAGAAAAAAACATAAGATATACTCCATTCAAAGACTTATCATGGCTATATCAGTATTTTATTTTTTTTAAGTTTTGATTTATCGTCGTATCCATATTGTATCATATCTGTGTCCGTATATGTGCTTTCTGATTTTTACCATTTGTATTTGTGGTTCCTAGATTTTCACTATCTTTGACTTGGTAAATATTTTCGGCAGGGAGATGGTGGTTTATTTTGTGGGCTCCATGTTGATAATGGCCGTGTCAAAGGGACTATGAAGACGACATTGAGGGAGATTATTGAGAAGTATAACTTGAACGTGCGTATCACGCCAAACCAGAACATTATATTGTGCGACATCCGCCGTGCATGGAAGCGGCCTATCACCACTGCTCTTGCACAGGGTGGGCTGCTGGTAAGACATTAAATGTGCATCATGCATTTACATAAATTTGATCAAATGAAGAGTCAAAGTCAGCTTCCCAAATATATCAGGAATGTTGTGTTGGTTACTCCTCAACAGGAGTATGTGGTTTTATACTAGAGGTATGAATTGATTTGACTATAAGTTTAAACTAGCTGGCAGAAAGCAGTTTTGATTGGGGGAAGAAAGCTAAGTTTTCTAGAATTGTGTCATGACTCTGGAGGAGTTACTTCTTGATGTATTCTCTTTTTGTTAGATCCATTTATCCCGACGAATATTATGCAAATCTTTATTAGTTAATTGAAAATTCTGCCATACTGAAAACATTTCAAAAGACAAAAGGGATAAATTTGGGGGATGGAGTAGTAATGGTTTTGTTCTGGAAGCTTTTAAGGAACCAGTTTCTGCCCAAATTCTTAGCGGCTTACATGTTTCTGGACATAAACTGAGGGTTTCTAGGAAGGTATAGATCAGTTCATTCACGTCCTCTGCTTGAGAATTGTGTAGAAACCATAGAGAAAATGAATGTCTTCACCATTTGGAACATGAAAATTCAGTCAGTTAACTTTTCTCATTTATTTGCATCATTGGTTATTTAGATTAGTATATTGATAGGCTGTAATCCTTGAACTGCTTTGGCTGCTAAGGACCAAGGGTGCTACTCAAGTTGTGCCTGGCAGTGCGTGCATAAAGGGTACATGTTGAGCACTCGTATTAGATAATTTGACTAACTCGACTGTTATTGTNTATTGATAGGCTGTAATCCTTGAACTGCTTTGGCTGCTAAGGACCAAGGGTGCTACTTAAGTTGTGCCTGGCAGTGCGTGCATAAAGGGTACATGTTGAGCACTCGTATTAGATAATTTGACTAACTCGACTGTTATTGCGGTGTCGTATTCGGGTCGACACGTTATCCAACTAGAACATGATGACCTGCATCTCTCTCGACTGACACCCAACTTCCACATCCCTCATAAATCCAATTGATCAAGGTTCTTGCAAAACAAATTGTAAGACATCCTAATTTGACAATATTCATACTAGACCAGAAATGGAAAAAATGGTTGCTTTGTGGCTATCCAAGGTAACAGGAGGCATAGATGAGCAGATTGCAGGTCTACTGATCAAGGTCAGTAAAGGTCTATCAGATTAGATGGGTTCATTTTTCTAAATCAGCTTTTTGCTGGTTATATGTGTTGTGTCCATAGCTACAGGGATCATAGATACCCCAGATTTCCCATTACCGGGGTTGCACGTCCCAGAACATGGTGAATTTACAATCTAAATCAGCAAAATTCCCGACCCCAAACTATAACTCCATTCCTAAACTACCTCATGATCCAGGTAATCCCAAATTACAATGCTAGCCCAAAATCGTAACTCCTAATGGCTATTTTTNGGTAACAGGAGGCATAGATGAGCAGATTGCAGGTCTACTGATCAAGGTCAGTAAAGGTCTATCAGATTAGATGGGTTCATTTTTCTAAATCAGCTTTTTGCTGGTTATATGTGTTGTGTCCATAGCTACAGGGATCATAGATACCCCAGATTTCCCATTACCGGGGTTGCACGTCCCAGAACATGGTGAATTTACAATCTAAATCGGCAAAATTCCCGACCCCAAACTATAATTCCATTCCTAAACTACCTCATGATCCAGGTAATCCCAAATTACAATGCTAGCCCAAAATCGTAACTCCTAATGGCTATTTTGGTGATCATTTGAATAAACTGTTTATGGTAATACAAATGTGCAACCACTTGCTTTAATTATTCACAACCGTTAGCCGATACATTGTCTTAGATTATGATGTGCTTCGTAATGCTTATCCAAAAAAAATAATTAAGTATGTGCTTAAGTCATATCATTGTGAAAGTGATCCAGCTGAGAGTTACCAAGCTAACCACGATCCGAAATAGAAAACCAACAAAGTCTATCCCTATCCCAATTAGTATTAGGGAATGTATGGTACCATGTATCTGTATCATATCACGCACTAAATTGACTCACAATCCAGTTAACATTGGTTATATCTAGCAGTAGTCATCCCTGACCCGTCAATTTCTTATTAGGTTTGAATAGTGATTATGTGCCGTATTGAAAATTGTCACCACCCTTATTATAACCAAAGGGTTGAGCAAAACAAATAACCGAAACCAATCGTAAGTATTCTTTCCCTCCCCAATGCCCCCGCCTCTGATATTTAAAACTCAATATAGCATAATAATGATAAAAATTTATATTCACAACTAATCATTACATTTTGTGTTGTACAAACATTTGGAACTAAATATAAGGAAAACAGAGCTGTATTTATGGTGTTTGTGTTGCTAGATGAAGAAAAAAAGGGGGGGGGGGAATCCTAAATTTCCCAATCTCATGGCATACTCACTTCAAAATTTTGGTCATGGTTTCATTCAATTTGTATGGGATGCGGACATGAGTGCTAATATCATGTTATACAAGGTTATACTCCCCTAATAATCCCCTTGTTATTTTTTATATCGTGTACGTGCTATAGAGATTCGAGAAATGTGCCCCTGATTTGGAATACGTTTGCTATTCAGCCTGGAATTATCTTCTGTCATATTCTTGGTTGCAACTCACTAAAAAGTGTGTTTTTAGGGAATAATGTTAAGGGTTCTTTGTTGAGCAGACATTTTGGCTAGAGCCACCTTTGACAAATGAAATGTTAGAAAGCTAACAAAGCATATTTTGACCAATTTTTGCATTGGACAGCAACCTAGGTATGTTGATCCCCTTAACATAACTTCGATGGCATGCCCTGCTTTGCCACTTTGCCCTCTGGCAATTACTGAAGCTGAGCGTGGAATACCGGACATCCTTAAGCGAGTTCGAGCTGTTTTCGAGAAGGTATGTTGCTGGATTTGCGGGTTGTCAGATATCAAGTAAGTAAGACATGTTTATATCTAAGTCGTGATGTTAGGTGACATGCATGGGCTTTGTGTTGCAGGTTGGTCTCAAGTATAATGAATCTGTGGTGATAAGGGTTACCGGTTGCCCTAATGGTTGTGCAAGACCCTACATGGCTGAACTTGGATTGGTCGGTGATGGTCCCAATAGTTATCAGGTATGTAAATTTTGAAGCCGTGATATCTGTAATTTTATTGCTATCAAGAGCTCCATGGTCATCCTTCTAGATTGTACTTCTACTATATGGAAAAAAAAAAAAAGAAATTCCTATGATTACAAACTGAATGTGTTTGTTTATGATGAATAGATCTGGCTTGGGGGGACACCGAATCAAACCTCGCTGGCTAAGACCTTCATGAATAAAGTTAAAATTCACGATTTTGAGAAAGTTTTGGAGCCTTTATTTTATTATTGGAGAAGGAAGCGGCAATCAAAAGAATCATTTGGCAACTTCACAACCCGCATGGTGAGCAATAAATGAATGACATGTATTTTATGTTCTCTTAACTGACTGATTTTGCTGCATTTTTTCCCCTCCTGAAAATCACATAGGTGGGGTTAGAGACTTTAAGGACCTAAATGTAGCAATGACCAATGGATTTGTGTTTTTTCTAATTGTTCTGTTCTCAGGGATTTGAGAAACTTCAAGAGCTGGTTGACAAGTGGGAGGGTGTGCCAGAGTCATGGTCTCGGTACAATTTGAAGCTTTTTGCCGATAAGGAGACGTATGAAGCAATGGAGGAACTAGCAAGGCTTGAAGATAAGAGTGCTCACCAATTGGCTATGCAAGTTATTCGCAATTTTGTTGTCTCCCAGAAAAATGGCAAAAGTGTATGAAGTAGCCATGGAAGCCATTTGCGATTATGTTCCCCCCCCCCTCCAAAAAAAGCAAGATTTGCAAAAATGAGCAAGTCTTCTCTGTGTCTGAATGTCATTGCGTGTACGCTCTTACTGCTCGGTAACAGCTGAAACAAGTGGAGGATTTTTACATCTTTATGTATCTAGGTTTCTGGGTGTTTAAGCTGGATGCAGGCCTGGATTTTGTAGCTGAGTTTCTCGAAGAATTTTTTCTCTCATGTGCCGATATTAAATCTGGAAATTGATTATTCTAGAGTTTTGAGTATTGCTGAATGGAAATTTGTTCTTTACTGGGTGGCACAAGTTCTTCCCTATTAACGGCAGTCAATGAGTACTTTAAGAAACAGCTTTTATACGAAGGAATGCGCAAGTTTCATGAATTTGCACCTCAACTCACAACCATTTTCCAGTTTATGTGCTTTTGCTATTCTTCATGATAGTCTGCACTTACAATTTCTCTTTTCAGTCTGTATTTGTGTCTTAGCGTCAAATTATATATATATATTTTTGGTTCAAGGTCAATGGTATCTAAGTTTGTTTACAGACATCTTGATTAATATTCTCTTTGATTTGGTGAAAGATAAGTTATTTACGTTGGAATATTAAAGTATTCATGAGGTATAAATTTTTCACAACTTGATTTCAAGGTAGTGTTAAAATTTAATTCAGAACGTCTGAATGTATAACACGTATCTGTTAGCACTTAATTACTTTGGGGTTTCAATGTATCTTTTATCCCTTGTACTTATTACATCTTTTTTTTGTTCTCTAAAAAATAAGAAATGAAAAAATAACTGCTAGGTTGTGGGATAGCAAGAAAATGATAGTAGACAACATGCCTCCTATTATTTGGAGGTAACATAACAAATACATATATATACTACTTTCCCCAAGAGATAGGAAATTAAAGCCTTGATAGAACATCTGAAAATCTTGAAACAATTCATCGTCACTTGTGACAAATACGAGCAGTAGGCATTGTAACACAGACAGATCCATACTTCTTCAAAGCCTCCGATGTCCCCCGCTTCGGCTCATCGGCCATGGCAATTTTCGCAACCGAGCATGCTGCCACAGCTGCCGCAGCGAAAACCAGGTCCCTCCTCCCATTGATCTTCTCTTCGTTGCTTTTGTAACTGGTCACAAATATTTCAGCTTCTGTGCCTCTTGAGGCCTTGGCCATGACAATTCCAGTTTTTTCAGTTTCTGTGATACTTGAGGCCTTGGGGATGACCACTAGACGGCGGGCGGTTGTGGGCAGTTGTTTGGTGGCTCTCGTGGTGGCGGAGACACCATGGAATGAGGTTGTCATGGTGATGGAAGCCATTGCTTGGAATTTCTGATCGCTCTCTCTCTCTCTCTCTCTCTCTCTCTCTCTGTGGTTTATGAACTTCTTCTAGTCTCTGTTGGTCTCACAAAGAGTAAGTGGAAAATGCTAGATGGTCGTTGATTAAAAGTGGAATGGACAGAAAATGGTGCTTGTTATTTGTTTCATCCATTTCCTTATCCAGAAATATGTAGTGTCGAATAGATTATTGCCATGTGGTCTTTCTTGAGCCTCAAGCGGGACGCAAAGTTTATGATTGTGTCCTCATTCTTTCGGGTTTTACTATAGTACCAAAAATTTTCAAAATTGTGCTACGAATTAATTTTTATAGATATTTATACAGCATTTTAAGTATAACTTACCAACTTTTAGAATTCTCACATTACACCCCAATCAAACAAAATGATACCAATGTGCTTCATTTTAAGAAATTTGAGTATAATGCACTTGGTAGTAGATCCTAATTTTCTTCTTAAGAAAAGATAGCCACAAGCCCACATTTGATTGAGTATAAAAATGGGATAATAGGACAAATACAACAAAAAATATGTCTAAAAGGCAACTAACATTTAGATTTGAACTATAGTTTTACCTTTTTTTTTCTAAGGATGCAATATGAAAATTTAATCTTTTATGGTGTAAGTTGAGGATAGTGGTGTAGAAATAATAATTCAAAGGGGTAATTGCTATTGATCTTGTTAGGAAAAAAAATATTATAAGTGACGAATTCTGTACACTTACTATGTATTTTATATCTCAATTGCATCCCAATGCAGAGTTAGAAAAACGTGCGATAATGGGGGTAAAAATTTTAGCAACAACAATATTATATGTACTAAATTTGAAAAGTCAAATTAATAAATAAAATACATTTAATGTTGAGATCTTGTGTTAATTCAACAATGATATTACATTCTCGTATTACAACACTACGAGTAGCAGCCTCTGGTTGCGAATACTAATTTTTTTTTTAGAAGGACCACGCAGCAAGACTAGGTCTATAATTTAACAGGCCATAAAGGCAAGCTACTTATGGCAAAAAAACCCGTTGACTGGAGAGGAAGGTGAATTGTTTGAAGCGAGCCTACAAGTCAAGCAACATGTCTCGTTGGCTTTTAACGATAACAAGACAGTCTTCACGCTTCTGCTACAAAGGTTCGACCTCTTGTTGAAGCGGGGGAAGTTCTTCAGTGAGACGGGCTAGTGTTAATAGCAAAGACAAGAAAACAAGATGAGTTGAAAAGGTTATCTATTATTCTCAAACGGTGGCATTAAATAGCCATACAAATAATTGAAAAACCAAAAAATATGCCATGATTAGGATTTCATATCTACTCCACGTCCAACAACTAACTAATTCCTAGAGACTAGGACACTAGTAACAAACATTGACTTGACAACACCACGTCCTTATGCTCAAGGGATTATTATCCAAAAAGTTTTGACCAACTCAAACACTAGCAATAAAGTTTCTAACAAACCCTCCCTTGAACTGATGCCACACAAACAAATCATTTTATTCTAGACCTCGAACAAACTCCAAGAAGACCACACAACTTCTCAAATGCTTCAAGCTTTAATGGCTTTGTCATTATATCTGCAATTTGATCCTTACTCTGACAATGAATTAATTTAACAATACCTTCTTTTGTGAGATCATGAAGGAAATGGAACCTGATGTCATTGTATTTACTCCATCCATGTAACACTGGATTCTTAGAAAGCTTAATTACAGAATTGTTGTCACAATAAATCAACGTAGGCCCTTGTTGTTGACACCTTATCTCTTTGAGCAACCTTCTCAACCATACTGCTTGACAAACACAGGATGCAGTTGCAACGTATTCAGCTTCAGTGGTTGACAAAGTGACCACTGGTTGCTTCTTAGAGGACCATGAAATTGCCCCAGAGTTCAGTAGGAAAACATGACCTGATGTACTTTTTCTATCATCCAAGTCCCCAGCATAATCACTGTCACTGTAGCCTACTAAGTCACTGTTTTTATCTCTCTTATAAAACACACCAAAAGTTGTCGTACCTTTTAGATAGCATAGCACCTGTTTCGCCGCTTGCAAATGGAGTGTGGTTGGTGTCTCCATGAATCGACTAAGAAGACTAATGACATAAATAATATCTGGCCTTGTGGCGGACAAGTACATGAGACAACCAACTATTTGCTTGTAATATGCACTCTCAACTTGTTCTCCTTCATAATCCTTTGTAAGATGACATCCTGGAACAATGGGATTGTGAACAGGATTGCAACTAGACATCTGAAACCGGTCAAGAATTTCATCAGCATATTTCTTTTGCCCAATGAAAATCCCATCTAAAATTTGGATCACTTCAAGGCCAAGAAAGTATGTCATTTTTCCCAGATCCGTCATATCGAATTCATCCATCATGGATTGTTTGAACTTAGAGAACATATTAACATCATTCCCAGTAAAAATCAAGTCATCCACATACAAACAAACAACCAAAATTTTGCCTTCCTCCTTGGTTTGGATGAATAATGTTTGTTCATAAGGACACATGTGGAATTCAACCTTGGCGAAGTATGCTTCAATGCGACTATACCAAGCACGTGGTGGTTGTTTGACGCCATATAGCGCCTTCTTTAATTTGTATACCTTGCCTTTCTGCCATCTCCGTATATATCCTTGAGGTTGATCAATAAAGACTTGTTCATGCAACTCACCATGTAGGAATGCGGACTTTACATCGAGCTGAAAAATTGGTCAAGAGTTTTGAGCAGCTAAGGACACCACCATACGTATAGTATCAAGTCAAGCAATCGGAGCAAAAACTTTAGCATAATGGACTCCATATTCCTCTGTATACCCCTTGGCAACTAAGCGTGCTTTGTATTTGTCACCTTCTTCTTTTTCATTTAGCTTTGTTTTGTAAATCCATTTAACACCAACTGTCTTTCACCATCAGGTAGATCTGTTAATTCCCAAATCCTATTCTTCTCAATAGATTCAATCTCTGCATCCATGGCTTGTTTCCATTTGTGGGACTAAACAGCATCATCAAATGAGATATGGTCCTGACCTGCAAATAACACCATGTGAGCAAGATTATCTTCATTTGACAGTTCATCGCCACTTAAATAGTCCATCAACCTTGCAGGTCGTTTTCGAGAGAAAAGGGGCTGATTAACTACATATTGAGAGGGCGGTGCAATGCTGGTTTGTGCAGGAGGTGGAGTTATAGCATGTGGAATGGCAGGGAGTGCACCTGGTTTTGCTGCAGGAGAATTTTTGGGACATGTGGCTAACGAGCTGGCATTGGAGGGGGCTGATTATTTGGTTCGGCAATAGTAACAGGTTGTTCTGGAGTGGAATCGACAACAGTTTGCTCTTGATCAACTATATCTATGCCTTCAAGCAATAATGAGCTACTGTATTTTGTAGTGTTGCTCCAGACCCATGTTTGGCTTTCATCGAAGTGTACATCTCGACTAATAATAATTTTTTTGGTGATTGGATTGTACATTCGAAAGGCTTTGGACTCATCACTGATGCCAAGAAAAATATAGCGTACACTCTTGTCGTCGAGCTTTGTCCTTGTTGCATCTAGTACATGGGCATAATCTAGACATCCAAAGACTTTAAAATGAGCAACAGATGGTTTATGATAAGACCATGCCTCTTTTGGAGTCATATTTTTAACAACAAAAGTGGTACTTCGATTTAGGATAAGTACACTCCAGTTGACAGCTTCTGGCCAAAAGCTTTTCGGAAGACTTTGTATTGCCATCATATTACACACCATATTTAAGATGGTGCGATTTTTCCTCTCTGCCACGCCATTTTATTGAGGCGTGTAGGCTGCAGTAAGTTGTCTTTGAATTCCATTCTCTTCACAATACTTTGAAAAAACATGAGAATTAAACTCACCACCACGATCTGTGCAAAGACTCTTGATAAAATGTCTTGTCATTTTCTCTACTTTGGCTTTGAAGCTTTGAAACAAAGAAAGAGCTTCAGATTTTTTTTGCAAAAAATAAACCCATGCTTTGCGACTATAGTCATCAATGAAGGCGATGAAATACCTTTTATAACTGTTTGAGGCCGGATTGATGGGTCCATATAAATCCGAGTGAACTAGCTCCAAGACTTGTTCTGCTCTCCATGCTTGGGTGGTCGGAAAAGCATCACGAGAGTGTTTGCCTATGGTGCACTCATCACACAGTTGAGAAGGAGCTTGAATGTAAAGGAGACTGATTATCATGTTTTTCTGTTGAAGAGTTTTCAACCCACCAAAGTTCAAGTGGCCATAACGCCCATAGATGGGTGTTGAATCTGACAGTAGCCATCTTGAATGTGCAAGTTGTACACATGCTCATGTAGCTGCCCCATACTAATCAGATTGTTTTTCAAATTTGGGATATAGAAAACATTAGTCATTTTGCACACATGCTCATTGATAAATAGTTGAATACTCCCTTTTCCCCTCACAACAATATTCAAATTGTCTCCTAACTTCACATATTCTCTAAAATCTTCATTTAAATCAGAGAATAAAGAGTGATTACCACTCATGTGATTGATGCAGCCCGAGTCCAAATATCAAACATCATGGGTTGGCTTTTTCTCCTCAATGCACGCCATCAAGAACACCTCCTCTGATTCGACAAAACTGGATTCTTCCTTTTCTGGGCAGTGAGATTGATAATGACCATATTTTTGACATTGAAAGCATTGAATGTGTGAATTGTCCCACATACCTCCTTGCTTGGTTGGTTGATTTTCATGGCCCCTCCCTCGTCCATAGCTTCTTCCACGGCCTCGGGCTCACCCACATGAAGAGTTGTGGTCACGACGGGTGTCATCATTTAGTGAGGCCTTCAATAGTTTTTCTTCGACAACGAGGTTGATCATTCGTTGCTCATGGACTAGTAGGGAGCTTTGCAACTCATCAATAGAGAGGTTTGTGACATCTCTGGATTCTTCAATCGTGCAAACAACATAAGCAAATTTGGGAGTCATTGAGTGAAGAATCTTTTCCACGATGAGGACATCCTCCATTATTTCTCCATGAATGCGCATTTTGTTTACAATCGTCAATGTGCACCCAAAGTACTCAACAACTGATTCTACTTCCTTCACGGTGAGAATCTCAAACTCTTTGCAAAGAACTTGTAATTGAGCTCGTTTTACCCGAGCTTTTCCTTGAAATTTTTGCTTTAAGGAATCCCAAATATCCTTTGTCGTATCCTTCTTGAGTATAGTCTCCAAAGTAACACGATCAATAACCTCAAACAAGAAATTTTTCACCTTGAGGCTTTTGAGTTTTTTATCTCTAAGGGTCTTGTTTTAGCCTCTGTAGGAATAGCACCAACAGATGGTTCATGTATGCCATCTTCTATTGGACTCCAGTACTCTTTAGACCGCAAGAAGTTTTCCATGAGCATACTCCAATGATCAATGACCATCCAATTTGGGAATGACCAGTTGGACAAAACTGCTGTTGTCACTTGTCATAACTTACTTGCTACTGCAAAATGAAGTTGCTGCTTCTATTGTTGTAACCGAATCCCAGTGGGGGCTTTAATAGTAAAGACAAGAAAACAAGATGAGTTGGAAAGGTTATCTATTATTCTCAAACGGTGGCATTTAATAGTCATACAAATAACTAAAACACCAAAAAATATGCCATGATTAGGAGTCTATATCTACTCCACGTCCATTAGCTAACTAATTAGGACACTACTAACAAACATTGACTTGACAACACCACGTCCATATGTTTATGGGATTATTATCCAACAAGTTTTGACCAACTCAAACACTAACAATAAAGTTCCTAACAACTAGCACTGGATGGTCTTTTGAGACAGGCAATGTAGATGCAGAAAGAGCCCTAACCAAGCGTGACTCAAGAAGATTTGACTCTTCCAATAGAGTGTCCATTGTGGGAATGCACACGGCGAGGAAGAAGTCCTTCATCGTCTTGATTGTCGCTATTGGATCTTCCACCATTCAGTATTGTTAACGGACAATGAGTTAGAGAAAGTCCAAGTGAGATAAGATAGTTATTAATAATTATCTCTAAGGATCTCGAGATGTGAAGAGGCGTGACAAATGTGACATGATGGAGCCTTCGGTTGTAGGCGATTTTGACGAAAGTAGTTAGATGTTGAGGAGAGAGACCGCGGACATTAATTTAGTGGCCAAAAAGATGGCTCCAATGATTAGAAGTCATCGCTTATAAATACATAGATACATGCAACAAAGAAGCTATCCATCAATCAACACACACAAGCATCATACCAAAGTCATCCTCTGCACTATTTACTTTTATGTCTTTTTTATTTTACTCCGCTCTACAATTACTTTGTCGTCACTCCAGTGACTTTTTCTGTTCAATTCCAAGTTCAAAAGTACAATTCTCCTTTGTTGTTTACTTTAATGTTCTTTCCAATCCGAGGAAGAATAATTTAAGTCCTTGATCTCTAAGGCGGAGAAAAACATTTAGAGATAAACTTACATCTTATTTCAATCATCTGAACAATCACGATTTCAAAACTTCACATTTATTTGAGAGGGTAAGATCATAAATATTTGAAAATTAAGTCTATCCAAACTTTGATACCCCGCAATCCAAAATATGTGTAATTATGTTTACAATAGTTACTGTTCAATATCTTTGCCATTTCCTATCATTTTTTGTATCTGCCACTTTCATTACTTGTTATGGTAAAGAACTTCTACCACTTATATGGGAATGGGACCATTGCCCAATGCATTTGTAAAAACAGCGGCTAATCATAGCGCTAAGATGTATTATTTGAAAGTTGTAATGTATTAATTCTTAATTATAGATATCCACTTATGTTGTATATCAGATGGAAAAAAAAAAGGATAATTATTCTGAAATTGTGGTTCCGCAACAACTAGGTAATTGGATGATCATTAAGTCATTTGGATAAGATCATACACCAATGAGAAGGACAAATCAACATAGAAATGGAGTTTTACAGTCTTATAAGAGACTAATCAAACAAACCACCAACAACATATTAAACCTCATTTGCGACAAATACTGGCAGTAGGCATTGTAACACAGACAGGTGCGAACTTCTTCACAGCTTCCGGTGTTCCCTTCTTGGGCTCACCGGCCATAGCAACTTTAGCAACCGAGCACGCGGCCGCGGCCGCTGCCGCAAAAACCAAGCCCCTCCTCCCAGTGTTCTTCTCTTCTTCCTTGCTGTTGTAACTGGTCACATTTTTTTCTGCTTCTGTCACCTTTGTGGCCTTGGCCATGACAAGGCCACGGCCGGCGGCTGTTGGTGGTTGTTTGGTGGCGGCAGCGGCTGAACCACCAAAGAAAGATGCTGTCATTGTCATGGAAGCCATTGGTGCTCTTTTTTTTTTTTCCTTCTTTTTCTGATCTCAGGCTTCTACTGACCTTAAAGTCACAGGCACAAGAACAGAGTGCAGAGAAGCAAAGATGGTTCAAAATACAATCCACTTCCTTATCTGAAAACAATTTCTGCCAAATGGGTCACTGCCACGTGTAACATTCTATCCTTGCAAGAACAGGTGGCTGCTGGGTCCGCCTCGCCAAGCAAATAACTAAATATTTGGTGAGACGGTCGCACCACCTCATTATTTATTTATTTATGATATCACTATTTAATAATATTAATAATAAATTTATGTATAAATAAGGTGGATTTCATTTTGGTGATTATTAAATAACAATGTTATACTGAACAAGATTTCTACCAAATTTTCTATCCCAAGTATCGTGACACAGTTTTTACCATCAAATAAATAAGTTCTATTAATATTTAATGATAAAGATTATGCGATATCACTTGAGATAAAAAACTTGATAAGAAATTTGATAAGTATGACATTACTAATTATTAAAAGGCTTAGTTACTAGAATATATATGATATATTTGTTATATTTTTATTAAATATTAACACTACATGACAATGATAACGTAGTATCACCGTTAGATCCACTATTTTTTCCACCTCTCAAGATGCATGGATTTGAGTCTCATGTGCAAAATCGGTAAGACTATCACCAGGTGCAGAGAGAGGGCACAATATAAGCAGAAAATTTTTACAAAGTGTATACCAAAAAAATTTATGGCGGAAAATTTAAATCATACCCTTTTTAATTTACTATATCTTTAAGGATATCTCTTATATTATCAAAAACATCATTTACACTTTTTTTAGTTTTTATTTAAATATCACTAACACCCTTGCCGTTAAACCACCATTTCTATATTAAAAAAAAATTCATCTAAAATGTTAAAAATGCCCCTACATAAACCTCAAACAATTTTCTACATGAAATTCGAGCTAATTTATATTTATTTTTCGACATATTAAAATTCGAGCGTCTTAAAATTCATTTTTCTACATATTAAAATTTAATCCAATTACAATTTGATTCGAGTTAATTAAATTTTTATTTTTTTAATGTATTAAAATTCGAGTATATTAAAATTCCTTTTTTATGTATTAAAATTTGAGTTGATTTGACATCTACCTGAGTTGTTAGCGTAGATTAAAATTCTCTTTAAGTAGATGAAAATTTATATTTTTTCACTTATTAAAATTCGTGCTAATTAAAAGTCGATTCAAATTGATTAAAATTTATTTTTTAAGTATTAAAATTTGAGTCAATTAAAATTTTAACTTTTTTATGTATCAGAATTTGGGCCGATTAAAATTCAATGCTAGTTGATTAAAATTTGATTTGAGCCAATTAAAATGTCGAATAGAATCTTAATAGATTTAAATTTTAATACNGCTTAGGTTTGAGATCTGTTGACATATCCTACAATCAATTGGAGGGTCCTCTTCCCCGCATCACAGCCTTTCAGGGGGCTCCATTTGAGGATAACAAAGGTTTGTGTGGCAATGCCATTTGTTTAATGCCTTGCTTCCATATGAAGAGCAATAGGGAAAAAAGGNAAAATATAATTTTTAATCAACTCAAATTTTAATACGTAAAAAATAAATTTTAATTAACTCGAATCGAATTTTAATACGTAAAAAATTTAAAAAATGAACGGGGAAGATATATCTATCTAGAGACGGTGTAAATGAAATTTTTCCTCAAATATATCATGCACAATTTAATAAAATTGCATTCTAATTAATACATTAATCTGACAGGAGATGTCAGTGAAGATTCAAAAGATAGAGGGAGGGTGGCTAAAATTTTCTCAATTTTAGGATAAATTTTACTAACACCACTTAAATTTAAGTTATATTTTACTAACAAAGCTCGTGCTATTTATAAAATCTTGCTAAGCGAGTTTGTGTGATGTTTAGTTGAATTCAAGTTGACGCATTTAATATAATACGTATAATAGATTTATTTATTTATCACTTGAATTTGCTTGGATTAAATCAAACCTTTCTAATTTTATATTGATTCATGCTAAATTCGTGGATATTTTTATAAGAGCCCTGGCCCTTCTTCTTCTTCTTCTTCTTCTTGCGTTTTTTTTTTTTTTTTCCTGTTATTTGAAAGTGATAATAGTGAATATCAAGAGAATCACAGATAGACTGTGAGATGGAATAAAAAAAGGCTGAGGAGGAATGAGAGTTGTAAGTATTGATTAGTAAACGAGGAACTAAATACAACACACACAGCTTCTACGGCACGGACCAATTTATTATTGAGGAGCATCGACCAAAGTGGAGATGGAGTAGTTGAGGCACTCAGACACAACACCTCGTACCGTGTGACTCTCTTTCTTTTTTTTCTCGGACAACAGGCTCCTTTTAGTAAATTACATTCACCAAGTATTAATGTCTCCTTCATTTTTTTCAAGTCTGGAGAACAGATACAACTTGCCACTTTCTTCATTTTGTCTTTTAAGAGAGTTACAATAACATCCCCATAGTTTGCATCAATTAAGCAACATGATCTTCTAATTACTAAAATTATCCTAAAACCCCCCCCCCCCCAAAAAAAAAAAAAAAACCAAAATTAAGCAATGTCAAAAGAATTTGATAAAAACAATAATGAAAGCTAGCATGAGGTGCCACATTATAACTATTTGATATTACTGAGAGTGCAATGTGGATATATTAGTCTTTGTGGGTACAAATTAAAATTTTTAAATTTTTCGGGGTTCAAAGTGTCATTTTCCCAGATGCTAAAAGGCCTGATAGTATATGATCCAGCAGGGGTAGTTTCGTCAAGAGCTGCAATATACATATTCACAATATCCTATCAGGAAATTCTCGGATTTCCATAAAAATAAGGTTCGTGCAATTAATAAATTAAGAATGCAAAGCAAAGGTCAAACCTCTCATTTCAAATCTCTGTTCTTTTCACTCTACGAGGTTGCACGCCTATATGTACATCTCCAGGCATAGCAGAACAGAATCTCTCTCTCTCTCTCTCTCTGAGTTTATGTCTACCGTTAATTTCAAATTCCATCACAAACTCCAGAGCTAGCTCTATTGAAAGACTCAAAAACAACCTAGAGGGAGATAGTACAGAGAAGAGAAAGAAATGTCAACAACAAGGAGGCCCAAATGGCATCCAACACCACCGCCACTACCAAGTCCCAAAATCCTCAACTTACCACGAAGAACTCGCCGGAAACAATCCAAAAACACCACCACAAAGCCATATAGACCCATCAAGGACCCCCCAGAGATGCACCAGAAGTACTACAGAGGGAAACTAGAGTCTTTGTTTGATCAAGAACGAGCATTTTCGAGAACTGCTCCGATTGTGCTGTTGAATTCGAGTGAGAGGAGAGAGAGGGTTGAGGAATGTGAAGAGAGTGGTGGCTTTCTGGAGGAGAAGTGGAGATTTCAGGCGGAGATTCTGAGAGCCGAGTGCAACTTCTTGAGGATGGAGAGGGAGTTTGCGTTGAAGAAGTTGGAGAGGAATCGAGTTCAGATGGAGAGGACTCTGCGATCAGCTGTTCGGACTCTGGTTTCTGTTAGTATCTCTTTGTTTGGTTGTGTTTCTTTTCTGCTAATGGTCTTTTTAAATTTTTTTGGGTTTGTTTGGTTGCTGAGAAAATGCAGAAAACGGAAAGAGAAACAAAATAAGTTCAATTGGATATCAGTATAGTTGAGTTCAGGGACTATTGGGTCTCTTCATGTTTGAGTTCAGGTAAGTAAAAATTGTCTTTTTTTTTTTCTCAAGAACCCAATGGAGGTTATTGTTTCGACTCACCTCTGGTTTCTTGAATAAGGAAAAAGGGTTTATGTTAATCATTAGTCGTTATCTTTCTAAGCCCCCTGTTTTGTGTCAGAGAAAAAATAGGGAAAGAAAATCAACGAACAGAAGAAGGAAAATGTATGATTTTCATGACTTGTGTTGTTTTCTTAAATTTAACAATGTGAAGTTTGATTGGTACTTTTACATAAGAATATTGTAGTGTAGTTTGTTTTTCATTTCTTTTGCTTTGCACTTATTTCTCTTTAGGAATAAAAAACCCTTCTGGCACCTTCGGTTACTGAGCACCAAATTGAGTAATCTTTATCAGTTAATTGGATGTGCTCAGATGCTTATTTAATTTCATTTGCTTATGCAATTCGATAAATTTGGTTATTAATTTTGTCAATTAATTTGTAGGGGAGAAATAAAATCTATGAAGGAGAGAATGTGAATACTGTATTGGAGGAAGAGATTGAAGATTTAGCAGAGAAACTAGAGGAGTTAAGGAGGAGCTCTGGAGTTGTAGATTTTGAGGTCCGAGACTGTAGTAATTTTGATAAACAAGCATCTCTTTTGCAGCGACGGCTAGGAAAGCTTGGAGGACTATCGGATGAGAAATGCGTCAAGGAGATTCAGGAATTGGCTGAATCAAGCCTGTCCATTAACACCATTCATGAAATTGACAATGAGAGCTTTGATTTGAGTAGTAAAGGCAATAATAGATCCACTGATGTAAGAATGAAATATCTTTTTCCCTTGTCAGTTTTGATTAATACATGACTAATATGTCACCCGAGCCTTCGTTTTTTTTTTATGCATAAAATGGATATGCAGATAAACCACTCCACATATTCGCGAGGGAATATTGCCTTTTAGCTTTACACAACTATTATTGCACCTACATTGGCGTTGAATATATGGTTCCACCATGAGTTCTAGGCGTTGAATAGTAGATTTAGCTCCATCGAGCTGCCGTAGTTGTGAAGACTTGAGCCTTCGTTTGGTTGCTAAGAAAATGTAGGAAAAGAAATGAGAATAATCTGTTGAGTCATATGGGTTATTTCTGAAAATTAAAAATTCATCTGATTTTGCCAGATTGTGTATGATAATAAGATATTAATCAGGCATTTGTTCTCTACTTATCAAGTAATGCAAAGTCTAAGACTCAAATTTCTCCCTATTGTTCACCAAAATTTATTAGGAACCAAATGGAGCATACTTTCTATTTTTTTCCCAATCAGATGGAGTGTGACACCTCTTCTTATTTGTCTTTCTGAATGGTTCTGATTCATTTACATTTTACTTTTTTCATGGATAATAAAAGTCTTAACTACTTATTTTTGCGTATTTTGTAACTCTTTCATCTATGTAAGTTTGAATCAGCACTGAAAGAAGGAAATTTCTGATTTAAAAAGAATGTGCAGATGGAGATATTGAGAAAACATATGGAGGGGCTGCCTAAAGGTTTGCTAGATAGAATGGAGGAGGAATATGGGTCAATGCTTTCTACTACCGCCAACAGTTCAGTTGACAGTTCTGCTTCCACTTCCAAAAGAATTGAATGCCTGGATTCCTCTAGTTTCTCCACCAGACATCTGCATCAGGCAAGTTCCTGTGCTCTGTTTGTCATGGCATATATTATTTCAAAATGACCATAGTAGTCAATATGTTTAATGTTATTTTTAAGTGTCCAGATTTAAATTCGAGCAGGTTTTAAGTAATTTATCATGTTTGGAAGTATCTACTTGTAGATGTAAGCAGATTGCATGGTTTGTTCAACTGATCAGCTCCATTTGGACTGCCCAAAATACACAGCCTTACTTTAAAATGTCACAGTCCTATGCAGGACCACTCTTGGGAGTCACCATCACTTTAGTACTTAATTTGTTCCATTTGTCACCAAACAGTCCATACAATAATTCTGAAATTTTTCTTCAGAACTCTTCTATAAATTCTGCCTTGAAAAGGTGTATGTAGACACAACTATGTGTCTCCGGGGCATCTTTTCATGGAAGAATACCTTTTAATCAAAAGCACATTTCAAAGAAGGATTAGGGCTCTTTAATTCAATTGGTACTGTTTTTTTTTTTTTTAAATTCAAGCTACAATAATTCCTAACTTTCTGTCTGAATACCCATGCTTAGCTAATGCTATCTACTGGAAATTCAACATTGAAGACTATGAACCGGTTTGAATGATGTTTGAACTGTATACCCTCGTCTTTTTTCTAAAGGTTTCTAAGTGATTTTTATGAACACAAATTTACATGTACCTTAAAGTAAATCATTCCATTTGCAATATATATAAGATATTTATATATACACCTTTCTTTCTTCTTGTTTCTCTTTTAGAATCTTGTTTCTATTGTGATGGAATACTTTGTGACTTGTGTAATGTCTATGAAAAGTAATGACTGGAAAACACATAAGAATACATCTCCAATCATGAAGATCCTATAGGTATCAAGTGAATACTGTCATTACTCTGCCTGCTAAAATGATTTCCAGGTTGAGCCAGTTCAGTAAAAAAATTTATCCTTTCACTCTGCATCTATTCAACACATTGATTTGACATTTTTTTAGTTATTCGATCAGCTTAAGGAGCCATTGCATTTGTTTTGATATGTGATTCAGTTCATAATATCTTTTGATTTTTGACATGTGGACCGGCAGTGTAATAGAAACACATCGTATCACTGACAAATAGTAATTTAGTCTTTCTGAAAATTTAAATTGCTCACAAACAAGTAAAATAAATGTGGACATGGTCCTTGAAACACTACCCAAAAAAAGGGAGAATGCACTTAATACCTTGGTTAAATAACAAATGTGTCACTTGTACATCTATTGTTTTTCTTTTAACAGTGGTGACATATTATTTTCACACAAAGTAAAATGTTTTTCCGACAGGAATTAGTGTCACGTGAGGAGATCAAATGCTCAGGACATTGCAAGGCCATGTTGCGGAGGATCATGGAGCAAGTGAGAACTGAGACAGAGCAGTGGTCCCAAATGCAAGCAATGTTGGGGCAGGTGAGAGAGGAGATGGAAGAACTGCATGCTTCTCGTGATTTTTGGCAAAATCAAGCATTAGATTGTGATTATGAAATCCAATCTCTGCGGTCCACTGTAAGTTTTTTTCTTTAAATCATATCTTATGTTTCATTATGTACCACTCCACGAGTTTCTTAATTTTGGCTTGCTGCTAGGTAAATTCTTTTGGATTTGTTGGTTTCTTATAGAACCGTTTAGTGCAGATCACTTGAAAACCGTGGACATATCCTTATTTCTTTGCCAATAGTGATTCCCACATGGTGGGCTTTAGAGAAGATTTCAAAAAGGAAAACTTTCATGAATTTAGCAGCCAAGAAATCCCAACAGATACCAATTCCCATTGCAAATGTTAAAAAATTTGACCATTAATCCCAAATCACAAGTTTTCAAAAAATTACTTACTCTCAAAAATGAAAATAGTGCTGCACTTTATTCTTTTCAACCTCCAATATTACATACTAGGGTTGGTGAACAGAGAAACAAATGATTGACAGTCATACTACTACATTAGTTCATGTGCTTCCTTTTGTCTTTTTGACAAGTAAAGTTGATGTTCCTGTGTTTCTTCATCCTTGTAAAGGCATAAAATTCGGCATCTATCTCTTGGATTCAAATGGAATCTAGTCAGCCAGCATATGTGCATGACTTTTGACATGGAGTTTGTTAATAACAGTCTTATAACTTCTGACAATGAATCAGTCCCTTAATTGGGTTGTGTTTATCAGTTACCCTTGGAATTTGGAACTCTGTCTATGCAGTATATCTACATCGCGTATCTATATCTACTTGGTTTCATGTAAAATCTCTTAATTTCTTTAGCGTTGATGAACTAGTATGGAACTGTCAACCCTCTTGGTTGATTTTATTGTTTATTTGTAGTTTTTTTCTATAAAAAGTAGTGCTGGTCATCACGATGAAAAAACCCCATCCCCTACTTTGTAACACATATTGCCTATGTAAAATTGATTCTTAAAGGGCTCAAAGCATTTGATGATTTCAAGTTAGACGCAAGGACTAAACACACAAAGTATCTTGATAGGATTACACATGGTAGCTGAAATTGTCTTTGCAATAGCTGTTGAGTACTGTCATAAAAACTATTGGTTGTGTTGAAAATACCATGTTGGCCTTTGTTAGGTGCAAGAATGGAGACAGAAAGCTCTCACATTTGAATCCAAGGCCAATGAGCTGCAAACAGAAATATCTGCAATTAAGGGGGAGCTTGAAAAATTGAGGATGGCGGAAAACGAGAAGCATGTACTGCATTGTCCCTTGAAGGAAAATCATCACACTAATGACAAAGAAAGCAAGAAGAAGATTGCCAACCAAAAGTCGAGGATTGAACAAACCAGGGAAATACTGACAACTAGAGATTTGCCACCAATCTCCCTTGGCAAACAGATTGAAAAGGAGAAGCGTATACTGATTCTTCGCTTAAAGGAAAATCATCATGCGGATGACAAAGGAAGCAAACAGGATAATCTTGGTGATGGAAGACAAAGAGCAACTACACGCGGCAATGGACTCATGGCTCTAAAACGGTCACCATTTCGAGATATTGGGAATTCTTCATGTTGATGAGGCAGAGCCACAGAATTGTGAAGCCGTTTCTCCTTTGCATAGCCCTGAGCCATCCAAAAAACAGGAATGCTTTTCAAACATTGGATAGAGAGAGAGAGAGAGAGAGAGAGTGCACAAATGCCTTATACAAGTAAAAAAACCAGGAGGCATGTAACCTTTTCATTATATCAACTGTATAAGTGCTTGGTCGAGAAACTGCTTACCTTGCCAATTGAAGTCATGTACTGAATATTGTTGGAATAAAATAAAGTTTTTAAAACTTTCTAATTATTTTATTCAATTTTAATATGAGATTTATTTAATTATTAATTTTCATTGATAGGTAATTTACATTTAACTTTTAATGGGTTTTAATTATGTTTTATATTTGGGTTGTTACTAGCCGTTGGGCATTTAAAGCTCACAATGTTTGTATGAACCCGCTGCCTCTATAAGGCCACTGGTGGTGGTCTTCGGAAAAAATACATGTGACAATTAACATATTGCTCTTTCACAAATAGCCCCACAAGTTTTTAAAGTCTTTGATTATACACACTTACAAATCTCACATTTGATTATCTTTTTCATCCTTCACCTTATGTACCACTTTTTTTATAACTCCATATACGTATTTTATATACATTTTATTCCTGAGTTTTAGAAAATTTCGATAGCGTCAGGTCACCCCAATCTTTTGGTGGATGTGACCCTTGAAAACATGTTGTTATGAGCATATTTGAGTTANTTATATCAACTGTATAAGTGCTTGGTCGAGAAACTGCTTACCTTGCCAATTGAAGTCATGTACTGAATATTGTTGGAATAAAATAAAGTTTTTAAAACTTTCTAATTATTTTATTCAATTTTAATATGAGATTTATTTAATTATTAATTTTCATTGATAGGTAATTTACATTTAACTTTTAATGGGTTTTAATTATGTTTTATATTTGGGTTGTTACTAGCCGTTGGGCATTTAAAGCTCACAATGTTTGTATGAACCCGCTGCCTCTATAAGGCCACTGGTGGTGGTCTTCGGAAAAAATACATGTGACAATTAACATATTGCTCTTTCACAAATAGCCCCACAAGTTTTTAAAGTCTTTGATTATACACACTTACAAATCTCACATTTGATTATCTTTTTCATCCTTCACCTTATGTACCACTTTTTTTATAACTCCATATACGTATTTTATATACATATTATTCCTGAGTTTTAGAAAATTTCGATAGCGTCAGGTCACCCCAATCTTCTGGTGGATGTGACCCTTGAAAACATGTTGTTATGAGCATATCTGAGTTAGATCTTGACGCTGTATATCTCTGTTAATGCCTTCACGTGGAGAGACATAGCTGATTATTAGAAAAAATAGCATAATTTTATGGTATTAATTAACGAGTCAATTATAAAAAACATAAAACAACAAGAATATAAATCAAATATATGATATTATAGCAAGTGATTAAGATAGTATAAAATACATAATAATAAATTAGAAAGAGCTAGCATGTGTATCCTTCCTCCACAAGAAAAAGTAAATTCTAACAATGGTTTTTACGTTTTAGAGCTTGGTGTTTGACTGTAGTATCGAAAAAACAAAATTTGGTATTGTGGCACATATCGCTTCTTGGATATTTATATCACTTTTTGGGTGTAGCCTACCAATTTTTGGAGTGCACTTATATTTTGGGTTTTCTTAACACAATATTGAAAAGTGAAAAAGTGGTATCATAGCCAGACCTTTTTTCCTTGTATTGTTATAAATTTCTGCCAAAAATTGCATTGCAATNATTTTGGGTTTTCTTAACACAATATTGAAAAGTGAAAAAGTGGTATCATAGCCAGACTTTTTTTCCTTGTATTGTTATAAATTTCTGCCAAAAATTGCATTGCAAGTTCTTTGACAGGAGGCCATTTGTCAAGTATTTTCTCTGCCTTTTAATGTCCTGGGAGAAGGCTAAGGTGATCTCAAGACATGCAAGCATTATGACCATGTTTGGTTTGTGTTTTAAAAAAATATTCGAAAATTATATTTGAGAAAATTTTAAAAAACTGTTTTTGGTATTTTTTGTATTGCAGAACTTGTTTAGTTATATGATTCCAAAAACAGTTCTACAAAATAAAAAATAGTAAAATTTGCTTGAACAAACACCTAGAAAATAATGAAAATATGAATAATGTGGTGGTGGGAGTGTGGTGATGGAGGTGGTGGTGGAAGTATGGTGATGGTTTTATTTTTTAAATTCTAAAAAAATAATTTCTAAAAACACACAAAACAGTTCTAATTTGTTCTCTAAATCTATTCAGTTTTTGTTCTCAATTTTAAAAAAACAACTGACCAAACATCTTTTCTCTCAAAAATTATTTTCAAAAAAAAAAATAATTTCTGATATGCAAATCAAATATATCTTCCAGAATTGTGCCTGAGTGTTGCTTTGCCCTCAAACGAGAACCCTTGTGTTCTCTTGATTGCAACATTACGAGAAAGAAGAATAACCATGAGTTCATTCCATGCTAGCAAATAGGAAAAGATTGGGGATAATTACATCCACCTCCACCAAAGTTTTTCCAAAATATCAACGAGACCCCCTTCTATATGGATAATAACAATGACCACAATGCTAGAATTTATTGCTAATCTGATGACTACAATACATTGAAACTTAATTTGGGAATTTAATGAAGTGTGGTATTTGGAAGAGCAATGAGTCTCAACATTGAATAAAATACTCTATAATTAAATGGTTATATTCATGTTTTAAATACCTAAATGAAATACAATAGTGTTACTAGCGACAAACCTTATGTGATGCACGGATTTGTATCTCATAATCTTTCATCATCTGTTTCATTATTTTCTCCTTTCTCCTTTCTCCTTTCTCCCACCACACCATTTAAAGATTAAAAAAATTAGACAAATAATGATAAAAACTTGAGATGATAGAAAGTAATTTTTAAAAAATATTTAAATGAGAAGTTAATAATTAGTGAAGGGGTGGTCATACCACATGGTGAAATGTAATTGGATGGAATGTATTAAAATAAATCAAATTTATTTGTTATATAATATAGTATAGACTAGCATCGTTCTGTGCATTTTTCTATTTCTTTTGTTGCCTCTGCTTCCTAACCATTCATTCTTTTTTTGATATTCACCTTTATTAATTAATAAAAAATTTTAAAATTCATAGGAAGTTATACATGATAAAAATAAATTTCTAAAAAAAAAATTCAAAGGAAAAGTGATTAGTTGGGGAGAAAGTGAAAAAGTGGTTATAGGTGCCAAGTGTTGAATAGTATTTTAGGAAACCTTAGTTTAGTAATAAAAAAAAATCAAAACTCTAATAAATTAAAAAAAAATGTGAAGGAAAGCTTCTCAGGCCTTTTTCCTTGTAATTTGTTTGTTTTATATATATATATAGATAGGTTGATTCTCAAATTAAATCCTTAAATTATATCTTTATAGCATTGACGTTTTGTTAGATTGGATTATTATTGAAAAAATGATTAATTACAAATTACATTCTGAAAATATCGTTCGAATCTTAATTTGTACCCTCAAAAATATAAATTCGTATCAATGTGCACTTGAAATTACAGTTGTCAGATTGACGTCTAAAACTAAATAGATAAATTACACCTAAATCCCCTCATTCTTGTCATTTAATCATTTGGATTCTCTCACATTTAGAATATTACTCCTACACATCCTAACGTTTGTGCACGCATAATACATAACTACTTGTCGTTGATATTTATTAATATAACTGTTAAAAAATATGATTTCATCATAATAAAAAATTATAATTTTATACTACACTTTATTTTGTGAGTCCGTTATTCTCTAAAGTTTAAAATTAAGTTTACCATTGGAATGACCAATATAATATAAGTATTTATATAATGTTCTTCATATCAAATGCAATATATCACTTAGACAGAATTATTTGAATGTCCAATTGGGGGAACATTTTTAGTCATATTTAAATTCTCAAGTGATGTAGGTATAATATTTCAAATGCGAGGAGTCTAAGTAATTAAACGAAAAGTATGAGAGAGTCTAGATATAATTTATTTATTTAATTTTAAACGGCAAACTGATACAAATTTCTATTTTTGGGGGTATAAATTAAGATTTTTAATCTTTGAGGGTACAAATTAAAATTTGAACAATCTTTCGGAGTGCAATTTGAAATTAATCCTTGAAAAATATACTATTTAGACCTCATTTGACGATCTAATTCAATATAATCTTTAAATTAAAAATAAACTCCGCCTAAAATTGTATTAGTGTAGAGAGTTTAGAGATAATAGCAATATGTGACCAATGCCAGTAGAATTGAACTTCGAGATTTAATTTGAGTACCTAATCCATTGGGATATTTAAATTAACAATAGACCTTAGTATTTAATGAAGTTTATTATTAATCTAATGGCCATAATTCACTAATAAAATTAATATAACTAATCTTTCAAAATTATTAAATACACCTAGCATTATTTTTTTTTCTCTTTTTTCTTCTTTATTTCACCTTTCTAGTTTCTTTTGGAAAAATGTTACTTGTACTTAAAATATTGAATTAATTTACTGATTAAATAAATTAAAATCATAGATAATGAATCTTAATAAATACGGAATCTATAATTAAAAAAAATATTAATCAAATCAACAAATTAAATTAGTATTTGAAGTCCACTTAGGATTGCTCTGCCTTCCTTCTGTCTACCACACTACAAGTTTTCTACAGGATTCGGGATTCCTTCTTTGAGACGAACTAAAATTTTGTCTTTCGTTCAGGATCCGTTCTCTCTAGCGACCCTATATATGTTGGACTTTACCTCTTTCTCTTCCTTTGTTCTCATTGCTTCTTTTAGGGTTTCAGGCTCTCTCTCTCTCTCTCTCGTTAGTTTTCTTTCACGTTGTTTGTTCAAGATTTTGAAGCATAGATGGCAATGTATGATTTCAAGTCGTTGAAGAAGAACTTCTTGGGTTGCCGATTCCGGTTTTGTTTAGCCATTGATTTGTTCTCCATTGCTATCGAAGCATTCTCTGAACCCTAAACAACGTCACTGTCAGGTTTTTTATTTCTTCTCAAATTCTTATCTATTGCGTGGATCGAAATTTTTGTCGTTGCGATGGATTCTGTTGTGTTGAAGGTGAAATCAAAATCCAAATCAAGGTTTGTGGAGGTAACTGATAATGTAGAGAAGTCACCATGTGGAAGATACACACGGAGCAATGATATATTGGGTTCAGGAGCTTTCAAGGATGTGTATAAAGGGTTTGATCATGTTAATGGAATAGAGGTTGCTTGGAATCAGATTTGTGTCGATCAAGACGATGTTTTCCGGTCACCGGAAAATCAAGAACGTCTATGTTCGGAGGCTCTCTTGCTGCAATCATTGAAACATGAGAATATTGTGAAGTGCTTCTGCAATTGGGTTGATCACAAAACCAATACCGTAAACATCATCACCGAGTTCTGTAGTTTTGGGAGCTTGAGACAGTGCAGAAAAAGGAATCAGAGTGTTGATATGAAGGCCATAAAAAACTGGGCAATTCAGATTCTTCAAGGTTTGCACTATCTCCATAGTCACAATCCTCCAATCATTCACAGAGACATAAAGTCCGATAACATTTTGGTCAATGGGGATAACGGAGAGGTTAAAATCGGAGATTTTGGGTTGGCCACCGTCATGCAGGACGGTCCGGTGCAAACCGTCGTTGGAACGCCGCAGTTCATGGCGCCGGAGTTTTATGACGAGGAATACAATGAACTTGTGGACATATATGCTTTTGGGATGTGCATGTTGGAGTTGATTACTGGTGAGTACCCTTATACTGAATGTGAAAATCAATTACAGATATTCAAGAAAGTTGTGTCTGGTATAAAACCTGTTGCTTTTGGGAAAGTGGTGGATACCCAATTGAAGGAGTTCATCGAGAAGTGTTTGGTTCATGCTTCTGAGAGATTATCTGCGGTGGAGCTCTTGAAAGATCCGTTTCTTTCATCTGAAAAACTTGATGGGTATTTACTTGAATCTTTGGAGATACCCCCAAGTGATAAGCTTAGTTTCAATTCTATGATCTCCATGGTCATAGACCCAAGCTCGTACGAGGATTGTTCTGCAGTTCACAATGACTTAAAATCATTGGGGTGTTCTGAACATAGCGCTGAAGATTCGTGTGTCTCATCTGTTAGTCATTTACAGTGTTTAAGATCCGTTAAAAAGGACTCCGAGGTGTGCTTTGCTGATTCATGTGCTGCCATAGCTAAGCACTTGAGCTTGAGGGTGTCTTGTTTATCAGTGGAGGATAGAGAAGAAGAGGAAGATGAGTGCTATGGGTTGAAAATGGAGCTCGATGCTATGGATATACAGAATCTGTGTTGTTTTCGCCCGCTAATCTTGAGGGTGTGAGGACGCCGTGGTGAAAACTAGATAAAATAGGTGGATTTTACACAGATATGGGAAAGTGCCGTGGTATCTTTATGTAAATAGGATTTTTCCCGCATAGAAAACTGTATACTATGCTTTGCAAAGCTAATTACCAGAAAATAGTAGGGTTTCTATGGCTCGGATGAATTTTCTGCTGAAGTATTGCGTGCTTCTCGAAAGAGTATCATTATGCTATGTAAACCGCAGCATGATAAAAAATTTTACTGTTCATATCGGTATCTTTGTTGTGAAAGAGCCATCACTTGGTTCATATTTTCAGTTCCAATCTTTTGGTTCATTTTTTCACAATTGGCCCAAGGGGCTGCTGCCAAAGACAGTAAAAATGTTATTTGAATTTAAAATGTTAATTTGATTAATTATTGTCATTAATTTATTTGTAAGTTTTAATATTTATCATGAATTACTATCTATTTAATGGTTGAGATTAATCAAGTCAACAAATCAAGTTCAAGTAGCATTGTTTATGACAGGAAAGATCAAAGGTGGTTATGATACGAGATGAAGTTTTTGAAACGTGCAGTGTGGTGAACAATAAAAAATAAAAATAATCAAGAATAATAACACATTAATTACAGGATTCCTTAGAAATTTTCCTTATGCGTATGGGAGAGGCTGCTTTTCACTATGTATCAAAATTTAATAACTTTAATCCTGGTCCATCTAGGAAACATAATTCTAGTCTACATAATACATGCAACCCTGATAAAACTTCTCTAACAAATTTAGATTAAAAATCCCCAATATACCCATATCCTATCCACCTACGTACACAAAAATCTCTGCTAAACACACCCTTGATTCATTGTCTTTTAGGTCTAGTGAATATGGTCACCCACTATTTCCAACCTAAAGTGAACGCTTTGTTGTATGTGGTGTGAGGCCCAAGCTATTTCAAAATTGAATACAACTTTGACATGAATCATTTGACTAATATTTATCACGTGTAAATTAGTCCCACGAGATCCTCTGTCAATTACCCAGTAAAATCCCAAACTTACTCCATCAATTAGTCGTTACCTTTGACTGGGTTTACCACATGTGGCTGAATTTTCTTCTTTCCCTATAAATAGTTGGGTCAGCGAAGAATGAAAGAAACAAAAAATCATTTACTCTCTTTCACATCCATAAAGCATTCTCTCTCACTACTATACTGTGTTCTTGTTACCTATTATGGGTAATTAAAGTTCAAGCTATTTCTGGCTCCTCAGATTAATTTTTGTATCTTGAAGAGTAGATGTCACTATTTTGCTGTCCCATGATTCATGCTCTAAGAGGTGAAATCTATCCTTAATGGCAATAATTACTCACGCATCATAATGATAGAATTTTGGATATGGATGGTGTATTGCTCACCGCTAAGGCTTTTCTCAACATCTCAAAAATCGAAATGTTTTTTGGAATATCGTTTAAGAGATGGTAAGAAAGAATCTTCTCTACCCTAGATGTTATAGGTATGATATTTTTCCTGTATGAACCCAAACCTAAAGAGGACACTGAAAATTATGTTAGATCAGTGCCAACAAGATTTGTAGGCACACAATCCTTAGCACCTTGGCTATTTGATGTATACTATCCTTACAAAGAGGATAGGAAATTTTGGGAGTCTATGAATTAAAAATATATAGTTGAGGACCCTGGAACTCAAAAGTTTACCATTGAAGAATTTTTTGCACTATCAAATGACCTATGAAAAAAAAATCCAGTTTCAAATAAAAGAATATCATAAACTACTAGAAGACCGCAAGAGTGAAAACATTAAGCTCCAAAAGGAGTTTATTGCTGGAGCTCTGTTCGACGGCTTTCCATTTCACTTTCTTCCATTCCTCCTCGGTTTCAGTCAGCAATGGCTTGATTCCTTCAATTTAATGGGCTCAAACAAATCTTTGAAATATAAGATATCCTTCATTTTAGTCTTTCGGACGGAATAATTTGAGACCGTTAATTTAATCATGGTACATGAAGGTTCCTCCATTTAATTTTTACAAGAAAATTCACACTATCTGATCAAGCAACATGTGCTCTAATATCACTTTGATAGAATGAACTCACACAAACAACGAAATTAATTTTTCTACCCCTCTTTATACAAATTAAGTAGGTGATGTACCAAACACTATCAGCAAAAAATTAAAACAAACAATAAAATCAAACTACAAGCAATACACAAAATTTACGTGGTTCCGCCAAAATCGGGGTATGTCTACGAACTCCGATATCAACCTTTCACCACATCAAATTAATGTTCTTACAATAATCCTCCCTCGAAATAATTTTCTGAGACTCTCAAAATGTCAATTATTCATCACTCGATGATGTTTATTAACAAAAGTAACAAGAATATATTTCACCTGATAGGTCTTGCAAAATATCAATCCAAATAGGTTTTCGACAAAACAAATTGAGCATTGAGTAACCCCTGTCACCAAGGGCGGAGTAAAAAATGTATTTTAAAATGGGCACATTAATAAATTTTTAATTTTTTTAGTAATACTATAGAGGTCTAATTCAATGTAGTAATTGTTTTAATTATAAGTTTCAATGTTAAATGGAGTCTACTTTCAATCAAAAGGTTACATTGAATTACGTTATCAAATTAAATTTAAATAGTATTTTTTTTAATTTTTTAATTGACCATAGAATTTCATAAATTCATATTTATTATAAGGGTTAACTGCAAGTTGCACCCTGAAAGATAGTTTGAATCTCAATTTAGACCTTCAAAGATCAAAAATCTTAATTTGCACCCTCAAAGATAGAAATTTATATCAATGTGCACCCCCAAAGATAAAAAATCTCAATTTGTACCCTCAAAGATAAAAATTTATATTAATGTGCACCCTTAAAGATAAAAAATCTCAATTTACACCCTCAAAGATAAAAATTTATATCAATGTGCACCTAAAATTAAATTGATAAATTATACCTAGATCCCCTCATGCTTGTCAGTTAATTATTTGAACTATTTCACATTTAGAATATTACTCTTATGTCTCATGACGTTTGTGTATGTATAATACGTAACCAATTTTCGTTGATATCTGTTTATATAACCGTTAAAAAATATGATTTTATCCTAATAAAAAATTATAATTTCATATTACCCTTTATTTTGTGGGTCCGATATATTCTAAAGTTCAAAATCAAACTTATCATTTGAATGTCCAATAGAATGTAGATATTTATATAATATTTTTATATCCAACGCAATATATCACTCAATGTGCAACTCTTTATTCTATTAGACATTCAAATGGTAAGCTTGATTTTGAACTTTAAAATATATTGAACCTATAAAATAAAGGATAATATGAAATTATAATTTTTTATTATGATAAAATCATATTTTTTAACAGTTATATTAACAGATATCAACGAAAGGAGTTACGTGTTACGCGTGCACAAACGTCATGAGATGTAGGAGTAATATTCTAAATGTGAAGGGGTCCAAATGTTTAAGTGACAAGTATAAGGGGATCTAAGTATAATTTATCAATTTAATTTTAAGTGTACATTGATACAAATTTTTATCTTTGAGGGTGCAAATTGAGATTTTTGATCTTTGAGGGTGTACATTTATACAAATTTTTATCTTTGAGGGTACAAATTAAGATTTTAACAATCTTTCAGGGTATAATTTGTAATTAACCCTTACTATAATTATACGTAAAAGTTTATTAAACATAAAAGGTTAAAAAATGATTTACATGAGATGAACAAACAAAAAGTAAAAGTAAATTAATTAAAAATTCGTATGAGACAAATTATTATTATTTTACGATTGAATTGGGTTATTGTTTATCATTTAAAAGTATTACAAATCAAGGATATCAACAAATACTTTTTTTATATATACAAAATGTAATAATAATCTTTTATTTATTACCCTGTAATCTATTACATAATTATCCTCATTTTTATACAGTAACAAAATAATCATAGAATTTAAAAAAATGATTGTGATATGTCTAAAACTTATTTGGAAATGTCCAAAATGTGTCTAAAAATTTAAGAATAATAGTAGTTGCATTTAATTCGAAATTTATTTGGTAAGAACCCAATGACTTATGATCATTGGATGAATATTGGAAGTTATTAACTGTGGGGACTCAATATTAGATTTAATATCATAATGTATTAGATTCCAATAATATTATTTAAAAATTAATAATTTAGATAGTGGTCCATCTTAATCGATATAATAATAACACAATAAGGTGGACATAACTTAATATGTTTAAATTTTATTTTAAAAAATAAATATCTTATGTCAAAAAAAAAAAAAAAATTAAGGGTGGGCATATGCCCACTCTGGTCCAAGGGTGGCTCCTCCCCTACCTGTCGTTGCGAACAACAAATTAAAATTTCATCAAAATCAAAACTCTTATATAAGGGTGTTAAAATATGACATGACACAAACACGATACCAAGTTGAGGGTTTTGGTGTTCTTTAAGTCACCACTCATTTCATAAATGAGTAGATCCGACATAACATGTCACGATTAATAAATAAATCAAGCGAGATGAAATCAATAAAAAAAAATACACGTCACAATTCGTTTATATGATGGTTATACACGATCACACACAATATGAATCTGATATGACATGATTCGTTAGATACAAATAAATAAATATGTTATGGGTGGAGTATTTTTTGATACACATGATTTGTATCGAACTCCCCTCTTCCGACATAATTAAAAGACATACTCTTAGATATACATTATTGGATGCACGAAATTTATAATCTAGTCCTCCCATATATTACCCTTCCACCAAATCCTCTGTAATTCTAATATTTCTATGTAATTATCTATTAATGTGTTATAATGATATTTTTAAAATTTAAAATAATTAAGAGAGATGATTAAAAATTTAAATTTAAAGTAGTTTAAAAAAGTGGTGGACGTGGTTATAGAGGATACATGGAATCATTTGATTGGAATGAACTAATTAAATATTTCAAAATTCTAATAATTAGGCATTTAAGGAGGAAAATCTTTTCAAGACTTCTCCTTCTAATTTGATTATTTTATATATGTATAGATAGATATGTATAACATAAATCTTTTCTGATAAATTAAATGTATATTAGAAATAGAAAAATAATGTGTTATTAGTTACATACCATATAGGCATGTATCTTGCACACACCCTCCTATATACACAGGCAAGATATAATTTATAAGCTTCCAAAACAAAGTAAATTACGTTAAAAAAAAAAAACAAAGTAAATCTACAATAGAAATATAAAAAGAATAGGTCATGAGTAACATACCATGTATGACACACACACCCTCTGTATACACATGCAAGATATTGCCTATACCCTTACCCTTTCTATTAAATTAAATCCACGACAGAAATAGAAAAAGAATATGTAACATACCATATATAATGCACACACCCTGCTATGTATATGAATAAATACTTCCTCCGTTTTTAAATATCTGTCGTTTAATGAAATTAAAGCATAATTAATAATTTTTCTTCTAAATTTACCCTTAACTTTTCAATGCATTAGATTAGGTGGAGTGTAAGTGTCTTTCATATTCCTTTCTTTCCTAATATGTATTGAATAAATGTATTTTAGTCTTGTATAAATATTTTTTACTCATATTACAGTTATTTAATAACTTCTTTAATCCCTGTGCAAAATTCTTAAACGACATATATTTAGAAACGGAGGAAGTATTTAACATAGAAACTTCCAAACAAATGAATGTTTACTAGAAATAGAAAAGGAAAATGTCATCAGTAACTTACCATGTATGAGAGACATCCCCTCCTATATATACTTGTAATTGATTTGGTCTATTGAATCTAGCAAAAAAGACAAAAGGCCACTTTCTTTTTTGTGCTTTGAGAATAAACCAATATGGATTCTGTACATGAGATCAAGGATAGGAAGAGATGTGCAGAAAGAAGCGAAGAGATTGAGATAAGAGCTCGAGCTCGGATTCGACAAACTCCGATTGTTTCTGGTGGAAATACTACTTCAGCCAAAACAACGACCCAGATCGCAGAGACAAAGAATAGTAGAGGAAAATTTTCAATTGATGTAATGCCAAAAGAAGTGATTGAACAACTGAGGAGCTTAAACAGTTGGGATGAGTGGCCTTGTCCATGGACTTACGACGAGGAGCAAATGAGGTTGGCACCGATCTGGTACCCGTATATGGATGTCGAACTCAGTCAACTTCATGCAGAGAACGAAGAGATTGTTTGGGATGATGATGTATGGGACTTGAAAGACATCAAGGAAATCCCCGAGAAATGAAAGTGTCTTTGATTTTGCATATGTATTCATATGTGGGAGAAATTATCATTATAAGTTTATTATATATTTGCCTTTTATTATTGTAGATCTTTAATCTGATTTCATGTCAGACATCAAAGCATAATTTGGAAACCTTTTTCGAGATTGTGTTGGTTGAGACAGAGAGCATTGTCTAATCTTCAAATGAACTAAGTCTAAAAGTAAGACCAAAGACTTTGTAACAAACACAGTGGTGAAACTGTTGGCTTGCATCTGAGGGAAAAGTAGGATTAGGCTTTCAATTCCATTGCTTACATTTGAAAAGCTGATAGAAAAGTTAAATCTTTAAAGATCTGATTGTTGCAATAGTGTATGTTTTAAGGAAATGAATTGTACTTTCCATTGAGTACATGGGTTGGGAAGTGGGAACTACACTTTGAAAGACAAGAATTGTCTACTATGTGATACATTGATGAGATTAATAAGTGTAGGTTGCATAAATATTAAGCCATTAAACACGATTAACTAAATAAATCAAGTTAAAATTGTTTGTTTTCAATATAAATTCAAAATAAATACAACCAGATAGCACAGAATCAATCGCAACACAATGGGAGAGGAGCTGGCATGGTGCCCTTGTTGATACAGGAGAAACCCACAACTTTATGTCCGAGGGGAAAGTCAAGCACTTGCAATAAAATTTAGTTGACACAATTCAATAGACACTACCAAATAGACTCAACCGACATATTTTCAATTCAAATATAGGGAGACGAAAGAAATGAATCAGAATCTATCTACGCGTGCAATAAATTTGTGTATCAAATCTTCTATACTAAATGATATAGCACTATATTCAATGATTTACGCGTTATATACATGTACACAGAGAGAACTGAGCAACGAAGCCCTTGTGGGACCAAGAGGGCCTTCCTCCTTCACCCCAACAAAGTTTATAAACTAATTTCTCCGCCTTTTACGCTATCGTGTTAATTAGTAAAATCACCAAACTTGCTCCCGTTATATATTATGGTATTCCCAAATGGGTAGTCCTTTGGTGTAAGATTTATTTTTGAACATCAAATGCTCTAAATTTAACTCTTGTTGGTGACTCTCGGATTTAATTGATATATATAGTTAGTGGGAGTCACATATAAGTTGATTACCTTTAATGAATAGATTCAATGTGATTTTAAAAAGTCTGTGGCTTAAAAGGTTGCATTATACTTGCACGACAATTAGATTAAGAATTAGATAGGCTCCACTAATTGTGTCATCAAAGGCTATAGTTGTTTTATTAAGTTCAGAAGACCTATGCCAGCTACAAATTCAGAAGATGAAAAGAAGATAAAGTCAATCCAACCATAATTGTAATACAAAGTACTAAAAGGAATAACGAAGTTTTTGAAATATTTCGGGTGTTCGGCAAATATGCAATTTGGATTATGTCATCTTTAATTTTGATTTAAATTTTTACTCAAATTTGATTTAATGTTTGAATAAAAAACTTGATTTAATGCAAGACATTACAATGGACAAATTTAAATCTGAAGGAGGACAAACTAAAATTCAAAGTTGGACAAACTCAAATTAAAAGGAAGATGAAATATGATAATTAAATCTTTTCAAAGAAATCCCCACCAACTTCCTTGTTCATGTTTATCATGTCATCCTTGCAATTCTGGTTGTTTTCTTTGCTATCATCCCTAATTTGGTGGAATAGCTCAATGGTTCTATTCTTATATACATTCTCGCAAGATAGAGTTGTACGGTTTATCAAATCTTTGAATTGGAAGATCTTCCTTCTCATCGTTATCTTCTACTCTAACAATTATACTGTTCACAAATTTACCCTTTACAAACTAGTGTAACGTGGTACTTAGTTTAATGAAAGTTAATTTACTAAAATATTTTTAAATCATGCTTATCTAACACAGTTTCAACATGTAAAAATTTAGCATTGTGTATGACCATTTCTAGCAAGGGTGGTCCAAAGCAAATTGAGGGCTAAAGCGAAAATTTTACATGATACCTTATTTAATATTTTAAGAAAGTAAATTTTGTTAACTATTATTTGGCGTTTTATAGAGAGTTGCAGTATGATTTATTTTCATATTTTAGTGCTTTTGGGATTGGGCAGAATTAGATAAAAAAAATTGTGTGCAATTATGAAATTTGAATGAAATTTTAAAGAGACAACAAGAGAGTAAGAGAGGAGAAAAAACCAGAGCAAGTCAATGAGAATTTGAGGGGGAGAAAAAGTTGGAAATATGTGGTAAGAGTAGAGAAAAAAATAGTGAAAAAAAATTTGAGAGAAATTGCTACTTTTATAGTTAAAAATTGTTACTTTTAAATTTTTTTGGAAGGTTTTGTTATATTTTAGAATTTTATATATGTAAGACATTATATAGACCTATGAAAATATTGTTACATTTTTAAATTTTCTATAAAGTTTTAGATAGATTTCTGAAATATATTGGGTCTTATATAAACATGATTCATCATCTTTGGAGGACTTTTAGGAAGTTTAGCATTTTAGAATTATTTATTATTTTATTTCCATGTAATTATCATGCATTAGAATTTTTTTAATTTCATAATTATTACAATTAGATTTCATCGAGAGATAAAGTACATATGTCTACCCTAACTATGTGTAATTTAAATTTTAATCAATAAAATTCTCTCGTACCATCAAGGTTCGCCAAAAAAAAAAAAACAAACTTGGTCTGTTCAAAAGGATCTCAAAACATGAAGCTGACCTAATGACTAAAAATTAAATTAGAGCTCGACTGAAAATTAAATTAGAGCTCTAAGAGACTATTTTAATGCTTAGACCTGCTATGTCTCCTCTCATTCAAATGATCGAAGTATTTGTGCATCTTATAACAATTGTAGTCTCTGTTTGCGTCTCATTATCGTGTTTTCGTCTATGAAACCGATTAAGTGAGACAAATTAATTAATGGATCACGCGTAAAGAATAAATGTAATATGTGTTACTCCATATTTTATGCATTTTTTAAATTTATCAAAAATAATGCGTGGACCGTTACAAGGGATATTGTCATAGTAAAGATGTTCAATGTTATAACGTGATGTCGCATAATTTTTATTTTTAATAATTTTGGCATTTAATATATAATAAACATTAGATATGTGTTATTTCATAATCATACTATATGAGTGCAATTGTTCAATGGTAAAATCCATAGGAATTAAAAATATACATAAATCATCATGGCTACAAGTACATATTTTTTAACAAACAGATCTACACATCCATTTGTATCTCTTGTCTTCTCTTGCTTGAACCACACTTTTCGGAACATAATATATTATTTCATTACTATTTTTATGTTCTTCTTATAACTTTTTATGATCCATAACTTATTTATATATGTAACTCTCACCTCCTGTTTTGTTGTGTTTTACTTTCTCTGATAATAACTTTATCTAATTGTTTTTTATATTAATTAGTTTTTTGATTGTGGATCCTTTATGAGAATGAATAATTTAATTAGTTGATGTTTTTGTATTAAAATGAGAAAAAATCAAGTTTGAGATAAATAAAAAATGTGTTTGATTTATTTTAACTTGTGGAACAAAGATATACTTATTATAATATTTTATTAAAGTATTAACCTTTTTTTGTCCTTTAATAAATATGTATGTGTAATGTATATTTGTGAGGTGTACTGCACTTTTAAACCTAAATTCTAAATTTTATTTGACTTAATCTTTTAGAAGTTTTTTTGTTAAACTAAATTATAATGAGTTTTAATTTTTGATCTATACTAAATTATTGAACTTTTAAAATTTGGGGCCTTTTTTATGTGTGGGCCTAAAGCCCGTGCTTTTTCCACTCCATTAGCCGGCCATGATTTCTAGATGCGTTGAAGGTCATCCTGCATGTGTGTGTGACTAGACTATCAAAATTTTACGTGATGAAAAACCAGTTGAACAAAATAATAGACAAATGCTCAATAAAAAAAGGAGTGTACAGATATGTAATGCTACTCGAACCCTTAAAAATAAGTCGTTGAATTGAAAAACTAATGAAATACTGAAACACCCTGCGAATTAAGCAAATTACTACTAAGCTACAACTAGTTGGGCATCTAAGGGTTACTTGGAGGGTTGTTTGGAGGATTGTTTGGGGCCATGTTGTGTACAACATAATCCAAATTCATAGGAGGCTCAGTATAAGTCATATTGGAAAAACCAAACTGTGAAGATATTTCGCCATTATCAATATTTGGAATGCTCCAAATGTCGTCTTGAAATCCTTTTAGCTTGGAGACACAAGCATCTTCTTTGAGATATTTGGGCATGGAAGTGTTCTCTGTGGGATACACAGGAAGGCCAAAATAAGTTGGCTGTGGTCCATAATTGTAACTAGGCTGAAGATGACCATTGAACTCGACCATGTTTGAGAGAGAAGCATCCATAAAATGAGGAATTTCGGTAAGAACATTTTGCAGAGGAGATTGCTCATCGTTGTCATACATGTTGATAAATCCATTCATGTCATTGTAATCGTAAGTCAATCCCTCGAGATGGCTGTTGTTGACAGAATTTCCATCTACCAACTCTTTGGCATATCCAACAAGCTCACCTTCACGATCTCGTTTTCGATTTTTGGGGGATGTATCAGCTTTCTTATAGATCCTACATAAAACCCAATCATCAAGCTGCAAGATCAAGAATAAAACACTAAGAGTTAGTAACAATGATTAAAGGAAACAAGGCCATGAGGAATTATGAAAGTGAAATAGAATTTTACCCTCATGCTGTTTCCACCACTTCTTTTCCTGNCCATTTGTATCTCTTGTCTTCTCTTGCTTGAACCACACTTTTCGGAACATAATATATTATTTCATTACTATTTTTATGTTCTTCTTATAACTTTTTATGATCCATAACTTATTTATATATGTAACTCTCACCTCCTGTTTTGTTGTGTTTTACTTTCTCTGATAATAACTTTATCTAATTGTTTTTTATATTAATTAGTTTTTTGATTGTGGATCCTTTATGAGAATGAATAATTTAATTAGTTGATGTTTTTGTATTAAAATGAGAAAAAATCAAGTTTGAGATAAATAAAAAATGTGTTTGATTTATTTTAACTTGTGGAACAAAGATATACTTATTATAATATTTTATTAAAGTATTAACCTTTTTTTGTCCTTTAATAAATATGTATGTGTAATGTATATTTGTGAGGTGTACTGCACTTTTAAACCTAAATTCTAAATTTTATTTGACTTAATCTTTTAGAAGTTTTTTTGTTAAACTAAATTATAATGAGTTTTAATTTTTGATCTATACTAAATTATTGAACTTTTAAAATTTGGGGCCTTTTTTATGTGTGGGCCTAAAGCCCGTGCTTTTTCCACTCCATTAGCCGGCCATGATTTCTAGATGCGTTGAAGGTCATCCTGCATGTGTGTGTGACTAGACTATCAAAATTTTACGTGATGAAAAACCAGTTGAACAAAATAATAGACAAATGCTCAATAAAAAAAGGAGTGTACAGATATGTAATGCTACTCGAACCCTTAAAAATAAGTCGTTGAATTGAAAAACTAATGAAATACTGAAACACCCTGCGAATTAAGCAAATTACTACTAAGCTACAACTAGTTGGGCATCTAAGGGTTACTTGGAGGGTTGTTTGGAGGATTGTTTGGGGCCATGTTGTGTACAACATAATCCAAATTCATAGGAGGCTCAGTATAAGTCATATTGGAAAAACCAAACTGTGAAGATATTTCGCCATTATCAATATTTGGAATGCTCCAAATGTCGTCTTGAAATCCTTTTAGCTTGGAGACACAAGCATCTTCTTTGAGATATTTGGGCATGGAAGTGTTCTCTGTGGGATACACAGGAAGGCCAAAATAAGTTGGCTGTGGTCCATAATTGTAACTAGGCTGAAGATGACCATTGAACTCGACCATGTTTGAGAGAGAAGCATCCATAAAATGAGGAATTTCGGTAAGAACATTTTGCAGAGGAGATTGCTCATCGTTGTCATACATGTTGATAAATCCATTCATGTCATTGTAATCGTAAGTCAATCCCTCGAGATGGCTGTTGTTGACAGAATTTCCATCTACCAACTCTTTAGCATATCCAACAAGCTCACCTTCACGATCTCGTTTTCGATTTTTGGGGGATGTATCAGCTTTCTTATAGATCCTACATAAAACCCAATCATCAAGCTGCAAGATCAAGAATAAAACACTAAGAGTTAGTAACAATGATTAAAGGAAACAAGGCCATGAGGAATTATGAAAGTGAAATAGAATTTTACCCTCATGCTGTTTCCACCACTTCTTTTCCTGGGAGGCTCATCTACTCTATATTCATGCATGATCCAATTAGTCTTGTTCCCCTTAGGAGGTCTTCCTTCATAGAAAACCAATGCCTTCCTATATCCAACTGTGACACCCTTACATTTCACGAGCTTATCAGCTCCAGTGGCTTTCCAATAACCATCGCCAGCTTTTCGATCTGGTCGGCTTCCATTTCGATACTTTCGGTCCCTTGGAGTGAAGAAGTACCATTCCTTTTCACCTACTACCTCGTATTTCTCTATAAATAAAATGGCAACACCAAGCAAAATAAAAGAAAGTTTAAAAATATGGAAAAAGGAAGGGTTTGAAAAGGAATAATAGCTTTGCGTTGAAAATAATCACATGAAGACAATGTGTATGGTAGGACAGGCTAGCCATTGTGTGAGATGGTCACACTTGTTTGTGACTCATGCATATAGACAAGGGTTGCAACGGTTTGAATTCAACCCTCTCCTAGTAAGAATTAGTCTATTTTTTTCGATAAGTAAGATGAAATTTCATAAACCAAAAGGAAAAACATATGCAAGGTGAATTAAAGGGATGGGTGATCTTCTAGACGGTTGGACAAAAGAACCACCATCCCGTTGCAAAAGGAACAAAAGATTTCAAGAAAGGAGCAAACAAAGAAAAACAAAAAACCTACTGATATTTGGTGGTGTTTGATTTCTAAACTGTCTTAATCTTATGCTTATACTGTCAAAATCACTCAATTCATATACTAAAAAACCTACTGATAGATAAAAAAAGCTTTTGAAGAAAAGAAATAAACTTGTCTACAAAGAACTCGCAGTCAAAAAAATCCTAATGCTATTCGTCAGTAATAACCTCAAAATATAGTGGCAAATAAAATTTACCCTGAGGCCCAGGCCTCAACGTGGTTCGTAGAATTTTCTTAAGAGACTAAGCCAAGAAAGAAGCAAACCCAACCCGTGAATAAGGAGGTCGATTGCTTCTTTTTTTAGTTATTTTTAAAAAAATATAGAGTAATATTATGTTTATCAAACTTCCATTCTAAATGATGCAATATAGTTTTTCTCCATATGCCTGTATTTTTTTTTGTTACCCCATATCAGATTCACTAGCTAGCTCTAGCACAAAAAGGGACAAACATATTAACTATCAATATTAGGACACTTATTGTTAAAAACATTATATATCCGAAGATCATTTACACCACATTACATGCCTTGAAAAAATACAGTTTCCTTTGAAAAATACACACACACACAATCTCGCAGGAACTAAACAAAATACAATTGTTTCCAACAGAAATCTTCACCTTTATAAAACTGCAAGCCTAGCTAGGTGACAAAACTATCGGAAACCACATCCTTTTGCGTTCATATGCATACAATTACACCCAAATTAAATTACAAAGAACAGAATAAAAGAAAGAATCTCACGACAAAATTAGAGAATCCCACAAATACTTACCACTAAACCACGCCGACGATAGTCCATTAAAAAAACACACAACTCCAAGACCACAAAAAAAAAAAAAAAAAAAAAAAAAAAGCAAACAAAGAGGAAAAATCAAAGACTCTCTAAGATTTGATAAAAAAATTTGGAGATTATTCAATGACGGAGATTATTCCACGTCATTTAAAATAAAAGATTTGATAAAAAAAATTGGTATATAAAGCATTTTCCAAAAATATAATTCCATTGTCTTCATCTAAGACTCTCCAAAGTCAAACAAAAACGTTAACTTCCAGACTCTCTCTCACACACACATACACACAAATTTTTTTTTTTTGGTCAATCACACAAATTGTAAAGTAGTGGAATTCCCGGTTCCCTATCTCAAAAGAAAACTAACCCAAAATTAAAAGAAACCCGACAAAATACCAAGTTTCAGAAGGTTAAAAAAACAAAAACAAGTGAAGGGGGATAGAAAAAAAACCAGCAAGTCCTTGGGGATTATGATCGGAAAGGTTGATCTCCTTTATCTTGTTATGTGGAAGCGATTTGTTCATAACTTTTCTCGCCAGGTAGTGAACAATAAGCTCATCATCGTATGGACAAAACCGATATCCGGGTGGGAGTCTGAAAGAATTAACATCAACATAGTCTTGGTTAGTACTGATACTACAATAATTTCCTTTGGTATTTCCATTGTTTGGTACAATGGATAAAGCTTCACACTGTTCTTGTTGAGTTATAGGGGTTTGATGGTTCTGAGTTTTGACAGAGGCCTCCACGTTCGGCTGGGTTTTCTCATTGCCCTCCATAGTTGTGGACTTTGAGAAGACCGTGAACTCTTCAGGTTGAATTGAAGAGTTCTACTTTTTTTTTTTTGAACAAAGAAGAGTTCTACTTGGATACAAAGAATGAATGAGGCAGTCTGTTTTGAGAGAGAGATTGTTTTTATAGAAAAATAAATTGGAGATATATCAAAACCGACAATCAGTTAACTAACAAGATTTGCTGAAAGTTATCATAACGAACTCTTGAATTGATTGGGCAAATGGCACTTTGCCCCCCGAAAGATTGAAAAAATTTCAATTTGCACCACAAAAGATTAATTATTTCAAATTACACCCTCAATGTTAATATTTGGTGACAATCATGTAAAAACACAGACTCAATTCCCCCTTTTTTTAAAACAAGTAACTATCTTTGCTACCCGGATTTATCCATGTTTTATTGTTTAGCCCCAACCCAAAAAAAAAAACCAGTGTGTTAAACAACCAGAGACCGATGAAATTCCCTTTACAAACCCAAAACTTTGCAACTTCAGAGCAAAATTTTCCAAATTTTACAAATAGACGGAACAATTTAACAATGAGTTGAAGTTCAGATTTAGTTTTTTTTTTTTTTATTGTCTTACCTTGTGCTCCTCCGAGTTCGTGAAGTGCATTCACAAATCGCCGGGATAATTCCGGCGACCAACAACGCCTCTGTTTCTTCTGCTGTGGGTTGCTGTGTCCTGAATCAAAGCAGTTCAAATTCAAATCAATTGAACCACCCATTTTGTTCACCGGAATGGAGAGAGATAAACCATCAAGAGATGAAGAAATATCCTTCAGTTTCTTCAATGGAAGAACAGATGCCTTTCCCCTGCTCCTTTTGTTACATAACTGATCTGAGTTCTTAGTTGCAGAGCCTTTCTCTTCTCCATTTCTCTGAAAAATCGAAAAACCCAAAAGAAATTATAAAATACCCAAATTAAATTATCGATCTTTAGCGGGGCCGGCTCAACACCATTAAAAAAAAAAGAGAGAGAATTACACTCACACCTCCTAAAATTTGTCACTTAATCACTCAGACTCTTTGACATTTGAAGTATTACATTCAAACCTCCTGAAATTTGTACGCGCGTAACACTTAGACCCTGCTATAAATATATCTATTAATAAATTATATTTTGAGTCCTTGAAGTTTGTAAACACATATTACTTAGACCCTTTAAGTTTAAAATATTATATATAGACCAAAAATACTTCAATTAAAGATAGAATACTAAATATTTTAACTTTTATAATTAAAATTCATATTCTATTGTATCATTTATTGAAATAAAATAAATATTCAATATTCAATATTCAAAATTTTCTTAAAAAATCGTAATTAGTATATAATTATATTGTTTATTAAAATTTAATTTGGTCATTTAAACAACCAAATTAAAATATCAAACTATCTCAATTGAAGTTAAAAGATATTTTGTTCATTACAATTTAATCCCTTATTTAATTTTTTTAGTTTTATTCTAATATATATTATAATTGTATACTAACTATGTTTTTTTTTTAAATTAGATTTTTATTTTTGATTTTATTTAAATAAATGACATAATAGAACATGAATTTTGATTGTAAAATTCATGTTCTATTAAGAATGACTTAGACCCCTTATTTATTTTTTAGTTTTATTCTAATAGATAGTATAATTGTATACTAATTATAATTTTTTAAGAAAAAATTGAATTTTTATTTTTGATTTTATTTCAATAAATGATACAATAGAAAATAAATTTTGATTATAAAATTTAAAATATTTGATATTCTATCTTTGATTGAAGTATTTTTAATCTAAGTATAACATTTTAAATTTAAGAAGTTTAAGTATTATATGCGTACAAACTTCAAGGGGGTCTAGATGTAATTTATTAATAGATATATTTACAATAGGGGTCTAAGTGTTACTCACGTAGAAACCTTAAGAGATTTATGTGTAATATTTCAAATGTTAGGGAGTCTAAGTGATTAATTGACAAACGTCAGGGGGTCTGGGTATAATTCTACCTTAAAAAAACGGTAATAGGATGAGAGTACCTTTTTCAGAATTTATTTAGCTTTAAGTTCCACTTCCAAACTTATCCTCTTTTAAGTCTTTTATTTCATGACTTATTTGTCAATAAGTACACAATTTAAAACATTTTTAAATTCTTTTTGAATTGTAGTCCATATTTATCTCTACCATAAATAGTTCATACCTAATAGACAACTTTATATTTCTAATATCTAAATATTAGAATTGAGACTTTTAAAATTCTTTTTGATATGTGTGTATCATTTCAATTTTAAAATTTCAAATCATATTCTTCCATTGTATCTTCTTCCCGGTTCAAGAAGCTGCTATTGTATTTCTTCTTCACCAGTTTAAACATTTTTCTCTTTGTATTTTTTCTTCACCTATTCAAGAATATTATTTACCAAACGGGACGCCATTAATCTGTAAGTATTCAAGATTCCGGCATTTAGCATCTTCATGAAATTTTCAAAATTGTGGAGCATTAAATTTTATATTATTTTTATTTTATTCTGCTAGAATTTTTCAAAATAAAATAAACCATAATTTTTGTTGGTCATTTAATATTTTCAATGTTTAATATATTTTTCCATTCTGAAAAGATAAATGAAACTCTCATGCTAAAATGATTATGATTTTTTTGGATTGATATTGTACGGTCACTACCCCCTCTGTATTTTTTCTAGAGAATAGTGAAATTCCTGCATTGTCGTGGACGTAGGCAAATTATCGAACCACGTAAATTATGTGTTGTGTGATTGTTTGAATTGTATTTTTATCGTTCTTTTCATTAATTTCACTTTATTGTCATCGTTTGATTTCACAACAGCTTCCGTACAGTGCATTGTCTCCTCCTTCAATCTCACAATTGCCGTAGACCCAAAAAAAAAATATCGAAAAAAAACTCAAAAACAAATTTTACAAAAATTTAATTCTACCTATTATGACAGAGAAAGAGAGAGATGAACTGACCATCGTTTAATCTGGCCGCGGCTCCATCGATTGGGTCTGTGTATTTTTTCAAAGGGGAATTAGGTATGTGTGTTTTTACATGATTATCCTTCAAGTTATCACATCAGGTATCACATGCATCTCACGTGATTGTTTGGATTAACAGCAAGTTTGACGTCCGTCAATCTTGAGGCCACATTGTAATCAAATATTAACATTGAGGGTGCAATTTGAAACAATCAATCTTTTATGGTGTAAATTAAAAAAATTTCAATCTTTTAAGAGGTAATGTGTCATTTGCCCAAATAATAATCATCGTTTAGCCTTACTAAATACATGTGATTACGAGTGTCCATTAACGGATAAAAACTATGATATTTTATCTTTCAACTCGATATTTTGAGAAAGAATTTTGTTAGCCAATTTTATCCGATCAAGTATACTATTCCTACCCGAATTCCGTCCAAAATAAACAAGTAGGAAATCGGGTAAAAAATTGGATGAACACATATTTTTTAGTTATTAATTTTTGGATTATTTTAATTGAATTAAATAATTTACACTTATTAACCAACACAATAAACAAATAACACCAAAAAAAAACACAATGAATTTAATAATACATAAATAATCTATATCAATATCTATACTATTTATATATCTATATCTATATTACTTATAAATTTATAGCTACATCTATATCTATTTATAGTTATTATACTTATAAATGTCAGCATGTATGAAAAACTTTTGATTTTCTATATCACCCTTAATTATTACCATAAAGTCAATTATACCCACATATTTTTTAGTTTTTTATATCTATTTGACTTCCAAAATATTAGTTAGATAAACTTTATCAAAATATTACCTAGATATGACTTGGTAGGTAAACTTTATCTCTAAATTCTTTCTTTTTCATTCAATTCTACAAACTCTATTAGAATTCTAATACCACATATTGGTAATTTTTAGGTCCTATTTGACTTCCAAAATATTAGTTAGATAAACTTTATCAAAATATTACCTAAATATTCATCAAAATATTAGGTAGATAAACTTTATCTCTATAACTTCATAAATAAACTTTATCTTTAAATTCTTTCTTCTCCATTCAATTCCACAAACTCTATTAGAATTGCTCGGTGGTCTTTTGATTTTGCGGTCGGTGGATTCAAGTTTATCTCACAAGAATGCTTTGCAAAGGTGTATCGAGCATGCAAAGCTTTGGCTTTTGAAGTCTAATCAGCCCATTGAAGCAAATTCAGACATTACCTGTATGAATTAGTTCTTCCAATTTGTCAATTTACAAATTTGGGGATTTCCTTATGTTGTTTAATTGATGGTTTATTTTGTAGATTCTAGGTTGAGAGATCTTGAAAGATTTTCAAGCTAGTTGCAAAAAAAGAACTGGAAGAACTTGTCCAGTTAATTTCAATGCAAAAGTCAAGAGTTAATGCAAAGGTCAGTGTATCAATTACCATTGAAGCAAATTCAGCCATTACCTGTTTGAATTAGTTCTTCCAATTTAGCAATTTGCAAATTTGAGAATTTCCTTATGTTCTTTAATTGATGGTTTATTTGTAGATTCTAAGTTGAGAGATCTTGAATGATTTTCAAGCTAGCTGCAAAAAAAGAACTGAAAGAGCTTGCCAAGTAAATTTCAGTGCGAAAGCCAAGAGTTAATACAAAGGTCATTGTATCAATTACTATTACTCTCACTATTATATCATATATTTGTTTTTAAGTATTTTGTATGGTTCTTTGCATGTTCAACTATTTTCTGGTATTATGTTTCTAAATCATAGTATATTACTTTTTACATGCAAAATTTTTTAATGGGTTGGAGTATTGTTGAACCAATACTGTGCAAACCAGGTTTTTTTTGAATTGATAGTTTATCAATTCCTATGTTTTAGTTTATTAATTCTTATGTTATGTGGCACTTAATTTTTCTTAATTTAATGTCAAGCAGCTTTCTAAGAGATTGGTGTGGCAGGTCAAGTATTCGGGATAATTGAGGTTAATTTATTAATTCTTATGTTTTAATTTATTAAATTGGTATCGCAAGTCGAGTATTTGACATAATTGAGGTTAGTTTATTAATTCTTATGTTTTAATTTATTAATTCCTATGTTTTAGTTTATTAATTCATATGTTAATTTTAAAATTTTCTATGTTGGTATTTCTTTATTTTATTATAACAGGATAAAATATAAATTGCCTTATAAGTTGTAACTATCACATTCTTTTAATCTTGCTCTATATATTATCAAATTGACAAAAAAGTTTGATAGAAATCCTAGGCCCACATGAATACCAAGAAATACATGGAAGAACTAAAAGTGTATAATAATGTGGAATATTCCAGTCGTTTAGGACTTCATGTAGAAAAGATTATACTTTTAATGCTAGAAGAAATAGTCTAAATACCCACTATAAGAAATTTCCAAAAATCCGGTTGTTTGACAAAAATAAATGTCCCCAAGAAATGTATACCGGAGTTTTTCTCGATGAAAAATAAATGTTGACTTTTTGATTGGAGTCCAATTATTGGATAAAATTTCATGAGTTTAAACCCCTGGTAAAGCGCCCTCAAAATTAACAAACACGAGTAATTAATTGTCGACAAAACCTAGATAAATGATAAATTAAATACTCAAAAATTTATATAATAAATTAATAATTAAATTTAGTAATAATTAAATATAGAAACATAAAAGACAATAAACTATTTTAACAAAATTAAAGAAAAAACTAATCTCCAAAAAAATGTTCAATTGTTATGTTAATAACACCTATTTTATCCCAAAACTAAGTATTAACTAAACTTTATCTCAAAATTCAAATCATATCTAATCAATTTTATTAAGTTGGTTAATTTTGTCCTGAAATTCATGCAAAATCTAATTGATTTTATTAATTAAATCAGACGTCGCAAATCTAGATTGTAAAAATTTAACTAATTAAATTAAATTTATCTCTAAATTCAAATCAATTCAATTAGGGTAAATTACATACAGACCCCCTAAAATTTGTCACTTAATCATGTAAACTCCCTCATATTTAAAATATTACACTCAAATTTGCTAAAATTTGTGCAATGTAACACATAGTCATAGATCCTTCCATCAGGGTCTGTTAGTATAGTCGTTAAAATTACATGATGTGGTGATAATATGAAAAACAAAATTCCCAAACTACCCCTTCTTCTTGATACCCCTTTATCCGGCAAAATTACAATAAAGTTGAAATAAAAGAAGAGCCATTTGGGTTACCGGAAGAAATCCTAAAAATTACAAGATCCAAGGGTTGACGGATTCCCTTAATCTTTGCCAAAAACCCACTGCCCTCCTGAAGTGGGAGCCATGTGAATTGCAAAATCTATTGCTAGATTGACTCCACTGAGGTTTTTTTATCCTTGGAAACCCATGATCAAGGTAAATAATCCTTCATTAATGCCCTCAATATTCATTTCTTCATTTAATCCAAAAATTTTTGCATGACAAAATCAACCAAAAGTAGTCCCTCTTCATTACTGTTACCTTAAACACAGCAAAATATGGAATTCGAGAATACACAATGCCTCATAACATGTCATAAGTACTTATTTAATTAACAGCCACTCCAAAGGGAAATTTTACCTCCACTGTGATTCTCATCCAACCACCAAAAAGCTTGTCTATAAACATCTAACTTCATTGGATCCATAAAATATAATAACCATCTTTCATCACATAAAAATGATAAATCAGGAATTTCATCTTCGCTTTGAATTAGGGACTCTGAATCCTCTGGACCTAGATTTGTTAAGTTTCAACTCAAAATTCTAGGCCTCCATTTTCATACCCTGTCCAATTTTCAGAAATTGGTTTTGATATGGCTATGGAGGCAATGGCATTGGTGGAGGAAAAGATAGAAAAGGGAGATTGATGCAAGGTGTGTAGTGACAGTGGTGGGGACATGGAGGAAGAGCAGAGTAAGGATTGGAGCCATGGATGGAGGGGGGGGGGGG